CCTTTTCTGTCCTTTTATTTAGTCTGAAAAGACTTGTTTCATTGATAATCAATGAGGAGTCTTCAGTTCATTTCCTTCGATTCAATCAATTCACTATAACATGATAGAATAACATCGAATATCATCAAGGCCTAATCTTGAAATACACATTGAACTTTCTCAACTTTTGTATTGAAGGCATTCCGAATCGCAAGGTTCATATGAGTAAACTAGTTTGTTTGCAACTTGTACCATCAGAGACCATCATCTTTACACCGGCGCAGCTTGAAAAGCCTTGTTGTGAGAACGAAAAGTCAACAAGTGGGTGGACTTACTCCTCACACATACCTCTAGTCTAGGTAAGAAACTTTCAGAAATCGCATGTTATTTTATTCATACTAACGATCCTAGTTTTCAGGAGTGAAAGGAGAGGCTCTTAAAAACACAACTCGTCAAGATAGACAGAATTACCTATTGCCAAGGATCGAGTGCTCCACATCGATTCGATCTTACCAGAAGGCTTCTTTCCAAACCTGATGTAAGCCAGACGGATCTGGTTTCCGGCATTGGGCAGTATTTGTGAAAGTCGGCAGAAACGCTGAAATGGAGATTGTGATGGCTTATATGGAGATCGATTTACGAGACTTGAGCGAGAGAATATGATCCGACTTTGGGTATCAGTATCTATTCAGTCATTTAGGTTTCGCTAAAGCAATATTCTATCCTATCCATCGAAATGAAAGCAGGCAAGTAACGGGGAATATAGTATGGGCGCTCATCAAGGACGGCTTTGCACCCAAGAGAATGGTAAAATTTATAAAAGAAAGCCTGACTTCGCAACGTCTTGTCGGCCCGCCACTAATAAATAGATTGAAGTTCCAAATCATTATGTAAATTTTACTTTCTGATCCAGGAAAAAGAGATAGAAAATGTAAAATTCCTAATTTCTTAAAAACCAAATTAGAAAGTTAGAAAAATATAAGTATTCAAAATTTAAATTCTCAATATAAAAAGTCAAGACTTGATCTTCCGGCCCTGGATTATTATATTAATAATTGATGAGCAGAACAGAACAAGACCACATACTTATATAGCAGTATCAGAGAGGGCTTCCTCTACTCGAGTACACAATCAAGCTCTCCCACCCCATCCCCTTCCATTAAATTCCGTTTCACTCCATCACTCCATCACTCCAACATTCAACTTTGACCTTTTGCGTCAAATCGACGACATTACCAGATAGATTTCCCAGCCCAAGTTTTCAAAAGTTCTAATCAGAGGAAGCACTAATACAAACCTCTACTCTACTCCACCCCGTACCCCGTACTCCGTACTAAGAATTGAATTTAGGATTGAATATAAATTTACACACATATACCGTACCTCAAAGCGCTCAACCCCAAGTTAACATCAAGATTGAGGTTTTAAAATAGAAACTCGAAAATGTAATCTTACCTCGCAAGAATCCTCTAACATACCTTTGCTTTATTGAGAAACCGTGACTGAATATCACTATGAAATCATAGTAATACTTTGACTCATATTTTTATCACGAACAATAATTCCGGAATGACTTTTGGGAAGACACCAATATATAAGGTCTTCAGAGTAGTCATAAAACAGATTTTGTGGTGAGTGATAAGTGATGAGATGGGATATGAGATATAAATAAGATTATTGGAATATGATACTGAGTAGTGTTATTATGAGAATAGACTTTTTATGTTTAAAGAATCAAAGATAATAAGTTGAGATATCTGTCATGATTGGGAGTTATTGAAAATGGGTATTATTAACGTTTACTAACTAACACTAACATTAAGTATCCTATCTGAGAAGTATCGTATCATGCGATTGAAATTTGGAGATCGAAGCAATTTTGAATCACTAGCACTTACCTACTCCATTCCTAGTATCCACGCACCCATCCAACCAATTTAGTAAGCAACCATACTAGTCAAACCATCCAATTCCCGCTTAAAATTCCTGTGCTGCGAAATATTATACATATACGCATCCAAGAAATTCTTCGCTCCCTTCAGCATATTAATGCCCTCTTCAACCTTACCGACTCCCTCCGCCGTCACAACACCATACGAATCCACCACGTCACCATTGGTACTAAAGGTCATACCATCAACCGCACATGCAACTTGTACGAGCTTGACTCCTTCGCCTGTAGCGCCGATAGCTTTGCAATGGCCGAATGCTTCGCGAACCCAATGGATTACTCGTCCTTGTTTGAGTAAGGCCGAGACGTGTTCGCCACCGGGAATATAAATGGAGTCGAACATTGTACTTCTCATGCCTTCGAAGTGGTGATCTGCACTTACGCTCTTGCCGCCGGAACTCTTGATTGGTTGTCTCTTGGGACCGATGGTAAATGGGAGAGCGCCGGCTGCGGTCAACGCACCTTTGACGGCTTGGTATTCGAGGAAGTTGAAACCGTCGGCAATGATTATGGCGACCATACGAGAGGCAATGGTGGGTGGTAGTCCTAGAGCTTCGGGGGTGAAGTCGAATTGCGATAAACCTTTTGCCTTTTTCCCGTGATTTGGACGTCCTGCTTTGGTGGGTGTAGGTGCACCAGCTCTCTCGGCTACAGCTTGTGCGAGCTCGAGGTCAATATCGGTTAGTCGCTCAATCATACGCTCATATACGATAGAATCGTCGCAGTGGTCGAGTTCGAAGCTTAGAGCATTGATGATGTGGGACTTTTCGATTTCAGAAACCGAGTTCCAAAACAATTGAGCTTGGGAGAAATGCTCCTTAAATTTTGTGGAGTTGAGACGTTGTTTCATGCCTGCGATTTTCTCAGGGTACTCGTAATAGGCACCCTCCGATTGCTTGCTTGGAGGAACAAAACTCTCCCGATTGGGCCAGTAATTTATCTTGCCCTTGGTGATTCGATGTCGCATTTGACCATCGCGGTGGTTATTCATAACAGGACACAGTGGTCGATTTACAGGTAACTCCTGCCAGTTGACACCTAGGCGGGACAGTTGAGTATCGAAGTAAGAGAAGTTGCGGCCTTGGAGTAGTGGATCATCGGAGAAGCCAATGCCCGGCACAAGATGAGCAGTGCAGAAAGCGACTTGCTCAGTTTGTGTGAAAAACTCATCAACGTTCTTGTTGAGCTCCATTTCTCCAACATACCTAACTGGAAGAATATCTTCAGGCCAAACCTTAGTCGCATCCAAGATATCGAAGTCAAATTCATCTTGACGACTTTCCTCACAAATCTGTATTCCGAACTTCCATATAGGATAACATCCACTCTCAATAGCAGTCCAGAGATCTTTGCGGTGGAAATCTGGATCTTGACCAGCGATCTTCAATGCCTCATCCCAAACGAGAGAATGGACACCTAGAGTTGGGGTAAAGTGGAACTTCACGAATGATCGTTTGCCTTCGGCATTTGTCAGAGTATATGTGTTCACTCCAAAACCTTGCATCATACGGTAAGATCTTGGAATACCTCGATCACTCATAGCCCACATAAACATGTGGGTAGCTTCGGTGTGTAGGAATTGGAAATCCCAGAAGTTGTTGTGTGCAGATTGTGCTTGAGGAATTTCATTGTCCGGTTCAGGCTCTACGAGAAGTCAGTAACCATTGATACAATTTTTCTAGACACTAGAGTTACGACTCACTTCCGGCATGAATGACATCTGGAAATTTAATAGCGTCTTGAATGAAAAAAACGGGAATATCATTTCCAACAATATCCCAATTACCCTCATCAGTATAGAACTTGACTGCGAAACCTCGTACATCTCTGACCGTGTCAGCACTTCCACGGGAACCTAGAACTGTCGAGAAGCGGACGAAGACTGGTGTAGTGCGTGAAGTATCTGTAAGAACACCGGCATTCGTAACATCCTGCAGGCAATATCAGCTTTCCGTCATGCAAAACGAACCAGCAGACCGAGAAACCCACATCAGCACTTTCGTAGACCTTGAAGGTACCAAAAGCTCCTGCACCACGTGCATGCACAACTCGTTCTGGAATACGCTCATGATCAAACTTCATGATCTTTTCTCTACCGAAGTTATCTTCTAGCAGTAACGGACCCTGGCGGTCTTCATTTGAAGCAGATAACCAGTTATCGTGCGTACTCGATTTGACACCGAAGTCACTGGTAAGAGATTCCTTTGCGTTGGGTTCTCTGATTTCCGGCTGCATATCCGCGATCTTCTTGTTGGATGGCATGACTGAAGACACAGCCACTCCGGCTTTATGTACTGTTGCCCCAAGAACTGACTGCATTGTTTTGATAGGAGTTGATTATAATTTATTAAGATTGAGAATAACTGATTGAGAAGATTGAGAATGAGAATATGGGCAAATAAATCAATGCCATAACCGACATAAAAACATTACATCACTGTTTTGAAGCGGGCATGGTACGTACCGGTATCACACAGCAAGGTGACGCAACCACACACCGATAAGATTAACGATATTGACAATTCACTCTGCAATATCTTTGTTTTCTTTCAAGATCGAACACCGGCATCCAAAACATGCAGTTCCAAGGTTAGCAGGTTGGCGAGATTGGCGAGGCTCGCGAGGAGCTTGTGCTCCGCTCCAGTAGATTATGAGCGGGTATTAGTCAGATTTTCAGCCAATGAAGATTCACGTTCAAGGTGAAAGATGGAGTTTGTTTCGATCAAACCTGAATTGATGCATCCGATCTTGCTGTTTGATAAACTGTACCCGCCGATGAGACAAACTGACGCGAGTTTCAAGACACGAAGAGCATGTGTCGTCGTCCATAGACAAATGGGTTTTGATTTTGAAGTAGTGGATGGCAGTAAGTTTGTGCTCGTACTACAGGACTAATAATCGCATTTAGAAGATAGTAGATTTGAGATACCGGGTAGTAAATCTGAGACTTAAAGGGGTGACAATAATTACCGAATTACCGTTTGAACTAACATCGGGTGCTGCAGCTACTGTCACGGTCACGCGGTGATTGATGACAAGTAGCTTGGCATTTGTATACGTGCGTCAATCACACTGAACAAAATTGAAGAAAATACCATAACCCAAGTCCGAGTACTTGCCGATAATAATGGCAACTCTGTTACCGGCACCGCGAGGTTTAAGGCCTCATACGAAGTCTAGGCAAGGTTGTATAGCATGTAAAGCACGCAAGATAAAAGTACGGTCAAACGAACAATAATATCCTTGTCACATATACAGATCGAGTTGCTGATCTAATTTGAAGTGCAGTGAAGCACGCCCAGCATGTGATGCGTGCCTGCGTCGAGAAATATTGTGCCACTACCCAGAATCAGTTTAAAAACGGCCGGTAGAAATCTCGCCTTCTCCTACTCCACCTTATGATCTTGACCCCTCAAGAGAGCTGGATATCACGGTGGCTCGTGAATCAAAGGAACGCCGGTTACTTGAGATGCGTCTGCTTCACCACTTTTGTTCCGAGACTGCTCAAAAGGGGTTTCTCTCTATTCACGACGATACCGTTCGTGATGTTTGGACCAAAGGTGCTCCCACTCTCGCATTTGATCATCCTTCTATTAAACGTGATGATTTCCATTGCAGCACTCCACCTTACCAAAATCAATCCCGGGGGTGAAGATATGGCTGAAGTTCACCGAACATACTTCAATGCAGCCGTTCGTGATCATCGTCAAGCCATACAAAATATCACCAAGGATAACGTCGAAGCTATATGTCTCTCTACAATCCTAATTGGGCTGCCCGCTTTTATCCTCCTACAAAACAATAATGTTGGTCATTATACAACCCCCACACATGTATTTTCTTTTTTTCGGGGAAACGTTGCTTTGTTTTCGCATACACTCCCTATGCTAGCTAAAGACAGTCAGCTAAAAGCCCTCGTCTCTGCTAAACCGGACATGATCACCTTAATGGAAAATGTCCGTGGCAAAATATACCACGAACCATTCTCGAAGCTGCTAAATTGGAGGGCGCCTGGTGAGCTTATTGACGAGGAAACTCAAGCTGCCTACACTTTTGGATTGAACTATTGCGGACGCATTCTACTCGGCGTCGAAAGTGGAGAGGATCCGTATGAACTCCGCCGTATGATTTATGCCTTTGCGACAGTCGCGCCGGAGACATTTATTCGTCGGCTGAATGAGAACAACAATCGCGCCCTTGTTATCTTGGCTCATTTTTTCGCACTATGCAAAGCTGCGGATGATGTCTGGTGGATGAGGGGAATCGCAGAAAGAGAGGTATTCGGTATACAGTCCGTTCTCCCGGAAAGTTGGCAATGAGCGATGGCATGGCATCTTCAGAAGCTTGCGGCTTATGCTGCGACGAATATGGAAACCTCAGCTGGATAAGCAAACAACAGGACCACCTTTCTGGGGATGTGTCGTGAAATCCAAATACCCATCGCTTCTGGAGACCTTCATCACTCACCTGCGACCAACATAATCTGGTCACATCACTTGAGTCTGACTCGTATATCCCAACTTAGTACCACCGCGACGGCCAAATTATACCCCCGTTGCCAGTGTGTCCAATAGTCTTGCAGTCTTCCGTCCAGACGGCAGTCTAGACAGCTAGTCTGTGGTTTGGTTCGACTAGACGGACTATTGAGGTGAATCTCGAAATAAGAAAGATAGCTCAGCTAATCTAAAATCTAATTATCCAGATTGACGTCTAGACTATTGAACTAATCAAGGTTCACACATGATCAAAATCCCAATTATCTAACACAATAATAAACATGTTGGTATCACCTCGGTAGTGTAGTCACAGTGACATCAAATAGTGATTCAATCAGATATCGTAAATGAGTTGTATTATAATGGTTAAGGCTATTCCCATTTAAAGATAGGAAGGCTTATATAGATTTGATTTACCTAATACATAAATATATAATCATATGCACCTATATTACACGAAAAAAAATCCTGTTTCTGTAATTAGAACTAGTCTAGCTAACCTAGATATCAATCCGACTCATCTAGCTTCAAAATATCAATAGATTAACTAATATAAGATCTTACCTTTTTATTGGGTCACAAATTAAACTAAATTGCTCGACTGAAATTCACATGATATTTGCAACTCTCACCTCATAGCTCTCATATGCATCTACTCAGATACCATATCCTCACATCCTCATATCTTCACATTCCATCAAAATCAACCTAAAGTAGTCTGACACTCTAAAAGGTCTCCACGAAACTCACAAAACCCACCATGGTAATTTTAATATCAACAAATACGTTACAATAGTCAAAAAGTCAAAATGGGAAGTATCTCATGTAATTAGTTAATCGCATTGCACTTTCCATACAATCTTCGCCTTATTTATATATCTTGCCTTATAATTCTTCGGGCCAGTTTCTTCATGATAACCCATTGTACTAAATGATTCCTGGCCTTCCACAGCTCGGAAGCTCCCATCATAATTATACTACAGGAACCTCGCAATTACACATCTATCTTACTTGTATGACGGCTATGGTCCTATGGACTTGTGGCTTTTCTTCATGATATTTGGGATGTGATTGCAGAATACATAAATACGTTATCTACTGCAAAAAGATACATGTAATATATTGTCGAACGTTATATTGGTATATTTCAGATGTAAAATTCTATTCGCCTGTTCCGAAAATAACTTTTGGTGATTCGGCATTTAAATGACAAATATACAGTTTACTTGATGTTAGATTCAATCTAGCAGCAGGATGAAAGCGAGATGATCCAACTTATGTGTTAAGAGAGTGGCCGTGAATACTAGGTAAAGCGCTGAAAGACCCGGCTTCATAAGATATTTCTACCAAAATTACAATTAACGAACTACACTCCTAGACTCAGCTCTCGAAAGATTCCCCGAAACAGGTGTTCAGGTATTGATAACCAAGCCCGAATACTTGCAAGCTAACGACAACAATTTCATCCACGTTCCAGCTTTTTCAAACGCTTTCTTGACGAAGTGTAAATTATTAAGTGATGACATTACTTGAATCTTCGGATTGTTTTCGAAGGTAAAATCTGGGCTGTAACGTAATACTTGAAACTTTACTGTCGGCTGGCCTGATTTTAGATATGATGTAGAATTATTTATATGGGGTATAAGTTACGGATGGCAGCTAGCTAGCTAGCTGCCGGTTGCCGAAGAAGCTACAGTAGTCTCAGAGGGGCATTAGTGAGGGATTCCCTCTTCGGGAAATTTCCTTGTAAAGATAATGTGTTGGTTCTCATTTCTTACATATTCTCATGTTAGAAACGTGTTTCGAGTTGTATGCATGCGGCATGTATTCTCTTTCTCACTGGAGGAGAATAATAAGAAATTGATTATTGGAAAACTGAGAAAAAAGCAGAGCTCAAGCTCAAATCTTTACCTGATTCATTCTTGTTGGAATTGAAAACATCAGCGATGGATTGGGTAAGGAGCTATGTCGACCCCGGTTGACGGACGAACTATAAAATCATATCGTGCATTCGGTCAGAGAGTAATCTAGTAATTCCTGCATATAATTTAACGCCAAACTTTGTCTCATTTTAGATGGATATAATATGCTACGCAATAATGAATGCATCTGTCGTAAATAAACTTCAAAAATGCTAGACCCAGCCGAAGTTCAGGAGCTGCTGAATACTCAAATAGTTCGGAATACTGTGCGACGCTAGACATGGTGGTTAATAGATGAGATGGAGATTTGTTGCATGGTTGGACTTACAGGTGTGAGAGTGGTGGTACTCGTTATCTTTGTCGTACTTGTGATGGTGGTGGTACGAGTGGTTCTACTCCGGCAATTTATCAGTAGAGTACGCGAAAAGATGTTGATACTAGTACTTACAGCTCTTTGATAGAAGTAGAAGGCGAGGCCAGTTCCAAGTGTATCGTCGTAGTACTCCCCGGATCTGAAATATAAATTGTTGTTGTTGTTGAGCCTTCAGTTGTAGATGCTAGATCTGCAAACTCTGAGGTCGGGCTTGAGACAGTAGACGTCGAGGTGACGTTCCTTGCAGACAAAGTTGTGGATACTATTTGCGTTGATAGCATGAAAGTTCCAGGTGTCATCGTTACATATATGGCTGGACCAAATGCCAGTACGCCAGTCTAAGGATGTCAGTAATGTCTGTATCCATATGCGAAGGAGAATCACATACCGAAGATACTAGAGTAGAAATGGAGATGGCCTCGGTATAATAGACCGGTATATATTCTGTATGAACGACCCAGACTTCGTTGATTGTCGTGCAAACCTGCACGCCGGCTGAGGACAGCCCACAGATATTGACTTGTATGTCTGATGGATCGCCTGCTGCAATTGATTGCCATGGAGCGGCATAATATGTAGTAGTGTTATGAACATAGTAGTTCGTCGTAATTGACGTGGTTTCCTTGCGTCTGTGGAGAGCCGAAACTGTGCTCGCGGGAGGTCTGGTGGTAGCCAAAGAATAGCCGTACTGTGTAGAGAAAGTGACAATTTCGTTGCACTCCGAAACGGTATGCCTCGTGAAGTATCCTATCAGAACTGTTGAGCATATGGTAGTGATGATAGTTTGAAATGAAGGTGAACATGTTGTAGTCCTTGCTCCTGGCAAGTTACATGTCTCGTAAATGGGAATCACAGATGTGACAGTCATCCCTTGGGAGGTGACAGTGGGTTGTATGTAGGTAGTAGCAGGCCACGGTAAGGTATAGTTGATCGGGGGTGATTGCCCAGTTGACCCTTCTTCATAATCTTGTACGATGCTAATTGGTTTATAGCTTTCTCGACCATCATCTTCTGTCAAATCAGTCGAGGTACGGCGAATATAAGCCGACTTCTTCGATTTTCCCAGCACACTGATAGGTAAAATGCACAGCACCCAAGTAAATATTAAGAGTGTCAACATGGTTGCTGACGATATTTGAATAGAAAGAGGAAGAAGGAAACAAGACAATCCAGGTCTGTGAAGGAGTAAAAAGTGAAATTTAGAAGGCTGGAAAGAACAAAATCGTCAACGATTTGTATGAAATAAGATACATTACGACGCGCAAACGCGAAACCGGCTGGTATTTGAACATCTGCGTAACTATGGCAAACAAAACTTAACCGTGGAATGTGAAGGTGATGAGGTTTGTTGATACCCCGAGCACACTGGCGCCCAGCATTCTCATCCATTGCTTAACACCATCTACTCGTAGAAACTATTGATCTCTTGTAAATCAGAAGTAGTGTGAATATGTATATACTATACGGTAATTGCAACTTTGCCATGTACGATCAATGGTTGTGAAGTTGGTGGATGTATGATGAATGATTTGAGGTTGGGTAGAATGAGTTGTGATAAGATCCCGGTCACCGTAACCTTACTCGAGTACACAAGAAGTCTCTTTCAGGATCAACATCGTGATCAACAGGCAGCTATTACGAGTAAAACAACACGGCTCCAAAATATCAATACAGTACGGCGATATAAAATCCTCAAAACGTGTTCATTTTGAAGTAAAGCAAGTTTGGTTAATCATGCCTCCCAAGAAGCCAAAACAAAGTGCCACTACACCTGAATCTCGGCCTCCAAATTGGCCCCCTTTCAAACCTCTCAAGCCATCCACAAACCTATCGCTCGAAACCATCGTTCCCGATCAAATCATTACAATATCAAACTTCTGGACATCCACTCTATGTAAAGACTATGTCTCATTCTTGAAGACTTTACCTTTAACCACAACACCTGGAAAGCCTAAAAAGGGTGATGCATTGAGAGTTAATGATAGATTTCGGATTGATGATTGGGGTTTCGCCGAACGCCTTTGGAGAGAGACGGGACTTAAAGAACTTCTGTGTGGTGAAATTGAGAAGGAATATGAGGAAGAGGGTGAAAGGTTGAGTGTGGAGGAGAGAAAGGAACTATGGTAAGCCTTGGAGGCTGTGTACGAATAGTCGTTATGATACTGAGAAGTAGTGCAGGGGAGGAGATGTTGTAGGGTTAAATCCTGCCATCCGAATATATCGGTATTCCAAAGGACAGTTCTTTGATTGTCATTGTAAGTTCTCCTTATTCCCAAAGTCGCCAGTCTTTCAATTCCATTCTCATAGTATTCTCAGACGATGAATCAAATCTTATTACACTTCCAACCAAACCTACTCCTACTCAATCAAAGACAACATGGACACTATTGCTGTACCTCACATCTCCAGCAACGGGTTGTCAAGGAGGTGAAACCGTCTTTTACCCTGAAGAACTTCCCAACAAGAAATCCTCAATTTCTGAGCCAGTTGTGATAGGTCTTGAAACTGGAATGGTGTTGTTACACAAGCATGGAAATGATTGTATGCTGCATGAGGGAAGAGAAGTCACGGAAGGCGAGAAATGGATTATAAGGACAGATATTTGTGTGAAGAGAGTGAAGAGAGTGAACTACTAAGTCGATGTTCGAAGACCTCTAAGCAAATACCGGTAGCCATGGATTGCTAAGTACTGAGTATTCAGGATTTGGTTTTAAATATTTATGCACTTGTGTATACAGTACTCATATTTTTATGCATTAATACAACGAGTCTTGGCAGACCGTCCAATTAAAACCAATTCGGTAAACCTTCCTGTTCTTGGCAACACTTGTACTCCCTTTCTTGTTGGATGAGAAAAGCAATGCATTGTTTTCTACCGTTTAAATTGCTTCCCCTCATCAACACTCACCTCAACAGATTCATGGCGCACAGGGAAATCCGTGGCGCAAAATGCCACGTCAAAACCAATTGCTTCACACCGATACTTTGTCTGCTAACACGCAGCGACTAACAAGTAAGACTCAGATACATCACAACGAGCAGCCTCAGCACATCTGAATATTATCTTCTCCTCAAGAACATGTTTGTGAAATTACCTGTACTTCGAAGCTTTCTCCGCGCTGCCAAGCCAGTCGCAATCCCACTACGAACACTCATGACCCTTCCCTCTTTTTCGCTGGAAGGAAAGACGTGCGTTGTCACCGGCGCTGGGAGAGGAATTGGTAAGGAATGCCTTACTGCCTTCGCGCTCAGTGGTGCCCGCGGAGCTTGCGTTGACCTTTCGCACTCCATCGGGGAGAAATCAATCGATGACATTAAATCGCACATTAAAGCCACGAATCCTTCTTACAAGCCCGACCTTCGTCCCTATGAATGTGATGTGGCATCCGAAGAGGCAGTACAAAAAACGTGGGCGAAGATTGTCGAAGATTTCGGGCATGTCGATGTAGTTGTTACAGCCGCTGGTATTGTTGAGAATTTTAAAGGAGAGCTATATCCTTTTGATAGATGGAAGAGGATGATGGACATCAATCTCAATGGGAGCTTTTTGTTTGCCAGAGAAGCGGGGAAATATTGGATTGAGAAGAAGTCCAAAGGGAGCTTAATTCTGGTATCGTCGATGAGCAGCATGATTTGTATTAGACCACAAAAACAAGCGGCGTATAATGCTGTAGGTTTACCTCTCGTTTACAGCTGGTCCTCTCATTCTACGAAATCCTTATGAGAAACCGATGTGGAAGGCCATTGCTAACTTGTTGAAGTCCAAAGGCGCCGTCTCAATGCTTGGTAAGAGTTTGGCGACAGAGGTAAGAATTCCGGTACTCTAACCCCACATATACTAGGACTCATCTGCATTAGTGGGGACCATATGGGATCAGAGTCAACAATCTGTGTCCCGGATACGTGAAAACAGACCTCATAATTCAGCTTTTGGAGAAAGAGGGAAAACATATCGAAGAGAATTGGATTAAAGACATCCCAATGGGTCGCCTGAGTCATCCAAGTGAGTTGCAAGGAACACTCGTCTATATGGCCAGTGATGCATCAAGCTATCTGAATGGCTGTGATCTTGTGAGTTTAATGTCTCGTAGGTCGTGTCGTGTTAGATGAATTTTTAATAACATTCTTAGGTCGTTGACGGTGGATATACCTGCTATTAATGTTGTTTGGGGGCGTTGGACATACCAGCAACCTCTATTTCAAAACAGTGGTCCATTGAAATTCAATAAATCTTCTGCAATTATCTCAATAAAAAGTTTATTGATGCTATTAAGGTAAAAGGCACGGATGGTTTGACACATGTCTGCAAAGTAGTTCTGTGCCCCACACAGCAAAACATTTCAAGTCTCAGCTATGTTCCTCTCTCCAACCCAGCCCATGCAATTCCATTTGTTTCATCAGATTTATATTACGACTGATTGGCCCCAATACTCGATTGATTACGCAAATTCTGCTTTTGCTACAACCTTTCTGAAATCTACTCGTCATCTTGCAATAAGCTTCAGTCTTGGCTACACCGCGCTTAAGCTCTCTATTTAATATAAAAGAGTGTGAGTAGGTGGTCTGATTATCTTTAAACGTTCCTATTTGATCTTGATCTTGAACTTGAGTGATAACAAACATACATTTAACCTAATACGAGTTCCTCGGACTCCTTGATTTCACTCTTAAAACCACACAACTAGTCATAGTACCAAACCCATACCAATCCACCTCACAAACGCAAACAATTTCCTCAAACACAGCTTCTACACGTCATAACCGCCAGAATGCGTATCACAATCATCCTTGCAGTCATATTCGCAACGGCGGCTTCGGCCCGCGTCATTCCGGCGTTCCTATCCCACCCATCAACGGAGACTGTTACGACGAGAAGTATTGGGAATGCACCGGCGATAGATCGCAGTCTTCTTGAGGCCGAAGTCTTGTAAGGCGTTGTTCATCAGGGTGATGGGCAGATGCATTTAAGAATATTGGTCCGCAGGCTCGTCTACCGGGGATTTGTATCATCATCAGGCTAGAAAGAGCGTGGAAGAGAATTCGATACGACTTATGAGTTATTATGCTGGTTTTGGGACATCTGTGCAATGGTCGAGGCGTTCAATTTGAAGAAGGTGGACGCATTATTAGTGATGACTTTTTATTCGGGAAAGCTTGACTCTTTTCCGGCAGGCAATTGTTTGATAGCAGCATGTTCTATCCGAAATACAAATGAATCTACACATCAAATTCTTCTCTGATTGTGCGATGGGAAATCTTGCCTAGAACCACCTTCTCCGTGACTTAAGAGTTATACGATCCTTCGACTTAATACCCTTGGCTAGTCATACATTTCGTGAAGACATTCAAGCTCTGACAACGCTCGATGCTGGTATCTTCTGCCGCTTCATACTGGATATTGCTCTAACACTGGGTATTTCATGCCACGCGACTCCGCATAGAAGTTGTCAATGTAGTGAAATCATGACTAAATCCATATCAAGAGCCAAGCTGGTGGTCTCTTACCACCGGTCCATGCCCATGCTCTCCCGGTCGTTTCAGTCTTAATATCGGACCATGAGATCCCATATCCGGTTTCTTCTTTTCTTCATCTTCATCTTCATCTTCATCTTCATCTTCATCTTCATCCACCCGCTCACCAACAGCACCATCACGATTTGCTCTCCAAACACCGCCCTCCTCGCCACCAAATTCCTCTTTCTTCCACACCTCCACCTTATCTTTACATTCCTCGAGTGCTTCTTCACCTGCCCTCCAAGCTGCTTGACGATGAGGTGACGACACTGTAATCAAAATGCTTTCTTCTCCAATAGGTACCACTCCCAGACGATGAATCATGGCAATAGATGTTAGAGAGTACTTTTGAGAGATTGCTTTGCAGATGTTGAGCATGCTCTGTAAAGCACGTGGCTCGTATGATGTATATTGAAGCTCTTTAACTGGCTTCCCATCAAAGTTATCTCGTGTAGTACCTATGAGTAATTCAATATAATACTTAGGAACAAGTACCGATATAAGAATTGTTACCTGCAAAGAGAACGATGGCTCCTGCCTTGGGGCTTCGAACTTTATCCATCATAACTTTGGCATCAATATGTTCATGAGTTAATGCTACGTAGCAATCGTTTTTAAAAAGCTCGTTGGCCATAATGTAATATCCCCCTTGTGAAATGTCTAGAGTTTGGTGAAAGATGGGAACTTCTGTATGATTGAGGATGAGAGATGAAGTTGCCTTACCTGGTGGGGTAGCCTTGTGTACTGTGGCGTCTGATGGGGTCAGCCCTATTTCATATGTGGCTTAAAACCCGATCTGCCAAAAACAACCAGCCTAACAAACGTCATTAAATAATAATCCCCAATAATTGAATAACCCATACTTTTCATCTCAAATCTTTTTACATCAATAAATTAGATACCATCTGCAATTTACATGTAATGAATTTCAGAACATCATGAGTTCTAGACCTTACAGACCCGGCCCCGGCGCCGACATGTACGATGACCAAGAATATTCGAGCGAGTACGGACAACGTGGAGCGCCTGGATATGATTCCTATCAATCGCGGAAGGGTAATCGATAGTTTGGAAATGCAGACTCCCAAGTATATGTGCTGATCATCATTGTCTCAAGATAACTCAATGAGTCCTCCACGAGGACATGCTTCTGGCATACCATACGACTCGGAGCACCCAGAACGCCCAAATCGAGACGAGCGCAATCAGTATGATACCAGATTTGAGCGTGGTTATGATAGGGCGAGATCCAGATCTCCGCGCAAAGAGAATAGAAGCCGTTATACGGATCGCGATCGCGAAGGATATAGGTCCCCAGCCCGTGGAAGAAGTGGCAGCGGTTCGCCTTATCATGGTGAACCACCAAATCGAACGATAATCTTTGAGGGAATTCCTCTAGAAATGACACAGGAAGACGTTGGCCGCCCCGTTCCTACCAATTCACACCAAACCTGAGAATCCACTTCTAGACTAAGTGTTAATATGAATAAATTTGGAATTCTGGCTAAGCATAGCGATTGGCCTTATTGGCCATTGTTTTGAGTTATAGATATCAAAAGAAATTCAAAAAAATCTTAGAGTTGAGGGTGTGGAGGAAGTCAGATTGATCAAGGACAAGAAGACTGGTAGGCGAATCTTTATTCGAAGGTAACACCGCACTAACAATTTGGCTCATAGGTATATCACGACAATTTGCGTTTGCGCAATTCTATACCCTGCTAGAAGCAAGACGATTCCTCGAAAAACATTACCCATCAGTTTCATTCTACGGTCCTTTGCAGACATCAGAACCAACCAAAGTCAGAATAGCTTACAGTCGCGAGAAAAACGATCAAGAACGGACAAGCAAACATGAGGATGATTGGAAATGTGAAGTCGTGTGTTGTCTTTACACCATTCGATATGACCAACGCTAATCAAGTCCAGTGCTACACATCAAATTATTCATACCGAATGATGTGCTTTAAATGCAATGGACCCAGAACTAGTACGTGACGGCCACCACATTTACGTTCTATGTCACTAATTGGCACAGGATCAACTGCTCATGGTGTTGTTGTGACACAAGGACATATGTCTAGTTACTCAGGATTTGCTACGACCGGAGATAGTGATGCGTCTCCCGACGAAATCGCTTCTCAGTTTCTCTTACTCAGGGGCCTCGAACCTGGTGTAACGGAGGAACTTCTTGCCAAGGGAGTAAGCAAACTTTACAAGACCAAAGCAAACACAACAGGGGACGCACATGTCGTCAAGAAGACGAAAATTTCATCTACTTCCGGTGACGCCTCACTTGGCGCAAAGGAAGGCTCTCTTCGACGTGTGTTACTGATTCGAAACCGCAAGACGAACGATAGTTGGCGCTATGGTTTTGCAGAATTTGGTTCGGTAGAGGATGCACAAAACGCTTTAGCCAAGTACAATGCTACGGAAAAGTTCACCATATCTTCGAAGCCAGTTATGGTTTCATACATCCATGCCGGAGTATTTGTGCCTGTTCTTGACGTGCTAGACGAGGAAACCGCGAGGTTCACATTCAGTCCTTTGTCGAACTCTGCGGTCAATTTGATGTACTGGGATGCTACGGCTTATGCTAGCGAGTTTTCTACCGTACTCCCAGAAGCTCCAGTTAAGAAAAAGAATACCGAGCGAGCTAGATTAGCCACCGCCGCAGCAAGTGAGGGACTTGTTGGTGGCAAAGAAGGAGAATTTCGAGCCAAGAAAAGAAAAATCGAAAAGGACTCGGCTGCTAGTGCTAAGAAGGTTGTGGCACCACATCTTCAATTTTGGACCAATAGACATGCCGAGATTCATGGTCTACCCGCGAAAGATTTCGAAGATGATGAGGCTGACCTCACTGTTACAATTCCAAAATCGATATCAGAACCCCATGCAGATGCTCCACCCATTCAGTCGTACGCAGATATGAACCGCAAATGCTGTCTGTTGTGTGCCCGCCAATTTAAGACAGAAGCAGAAGTCAACAAACACGAGAGAATCAGTCAACTTCACCGCGATAATACGAAGAATGAAGAATTGGTCTCCAAAGCTTTAGCCAAGCTCAAGAAATCTACAAATGACTCAGCCTCAATTGACAACTCCGCTTACAGAGATCGCGCAAAGGAACGCCGCCAGGCCTTTAATCAGCCCAAGCAACCTGCTGCTCAACACAATAAATCCAAGGCCGCATCTTCCATGTCCACTCCTCCTTTGCAAAAAGAAGAAGAAAATGAACCCACAGCACCAGCACAATCCAAAGGTGCAGCACTCCTAGGTAAAATGGGTTGGAACGCAGGAGAAGGTCTCGGTGCCCAAGGTACGGGAAGAACGGAAGCCATTGCAACGGAACTTTATACACAGGGTGTAGGTCTGGGAGCCGAGGGTGGCAAGCTGGGTGATGCGATAAAGGAAGCAGAGAGGCAGACAAAAGGTGATTATAAATCATTTGTGGGGAGGACGAAAGAAAAGGCTAAAGAACGGTACGAGACTTTGGGTTGAGGGATTAGATCAACGAGGATCTGGTGTGTATTGTATGAATATCTATCTCGTTATATGAATGAAGGATGCTTCTTCTGGTTTCAAATAATTTCAAGTCTAAATTATTTTATCTTATAACTTTCCCAGATATGGCTGCAGAATTCTTGTCTGTGAACTCATTCTTCCCTTCAATTGGTTGCTTTGGCGAGAAACTCAAACTCAAACTCACTGCCTCAATTGTCAAATACATATCTTCCTTCCCAAATCCTGATCATTTAGTAAATAACTAAATCATAATTTGAAAAATGCGACTCCTTAATTCCCTTCCCTTCCCTTCTTTTCCCTTCCTTTCCCTTCCTTTCTCTTCCCTTCCCGAAACTCAAACTCAAATTTTAAAACTCGTAGATCATTTTCAAAATTTCAATTCGCTGGCCAATGCAACTACACTACTGAGTACTCGAGTATACTATTGCTTCTAGCTAGTGAGAGAGAGGCTTATATACAGTACCGGTATATGTATTGTTACCGGGATTATGGTTGCAATAGCAGTAGCAGTTATAGTAAATCGTTATTTATATTACAATGCTTGCTTAACCTGTCGCATTGAACGCTGATGGGCTAACTACTAACTACATGTAGTATATCTGATTCTCTTAGTCATAATAATACATAAACGCTGGTTCTCCTTACGCTGTAACAACCTAAGGATAAAACAATCCTTCCAATTGTTAATTCAAGCTTAGATGTATTCTCTCATCTTGAACCAAACAAACAATCACAAGTCCCATACCCCCATCACTTTTCCCCCACATCCGCAGCCTCCTCCTCCGCCACCCCTTTCAAATCCCGCTCTCCCATTTCCCCATCCCAACCATGCTCCACCAAATACGCTCTAAACTTCTCATCCCTCACCCCCAAATCCTCACCCGTAAGATCCTCCACAAAGAAATACGTAACCAGCATCCCCACCACCCCGCAAATCGCCGCTATAATAAACGTCCACCGCTTCCCTAAATGCGTTTGGATGGGCGTAAATACCTGCGTCCCAACCGCCGCCCCTACTTTCCCCATGGCGGCAGATATCCCATAGCATGTTCCGCGGACCGATGTCGCGTAGGTTTCTGAGGAGATGAGGCCTAACATATTGCCTGGGCCGAGATTTCCGAAACCTTGCATTAGGCCGTACATGACGACGAAGAGGGGGACGATTGGCGTAATTTTGTTGTAGGCACAACCGATTGTTAGACCGAATATGAGGTATCCTGCGAATCCCAACATCATGGTATTTTTGCGGCCGAAACGACCGCAGAGTACGGCGCCGATGATCACGCCGGGTAGTGCGATGGTTCCTAGAAGGAGATTCCATTTTCCGGTTTTAAGGACAACGGCGGTGGGGTCGGAGGGAACCACAGAGGCGATGATTGTGCCTGAATAAACGCCATTGGGGAATGTTACGAAGTCATAGAAGAACCATGCGCCGCAGGTTCCAATGAGTGATTTCCAGTAATACCGTAGTACAAGTTTGTAAGGGACGTTTTTCTTGATAGCTCCACGGCGATAAAGTGCACTATTGAGCATCTTGATTCTGAAGTAGAAGACCGATAAAGGTAGAATACAACCGATGCCAAAACATACCCGCCATACAGTATCATAGTGCTTATAGTCACACGCAGCGAGTACGATAAGGAAGACTGAGACAGCGAGTGGGCCCCCAAGAGAGAGTGGAAGGTTCGTAACGAGAATGAAGATTGGACCACGATTTCTGGGCGAGTACTCATTCGCAGCTTCGGATGCAGATATGGAAGACGCTGGATATTCACCTGAAAAGTTATTGATAAGTTGAAGATGGACAATCTGGGACCTTGAGACAACTTACCTCCGACCCCAAACCCTATGATTCCTCGTGCAACAGTCATCATCCAAAACATCCTAGACATGTGAGTTAGCTGAACGATATAACTTACTGCATTGGTTATGGTTGCCAATAGTCCAGAGTGCAGTCCAACAATAAGATATTCCTGATTCTTGTATCTATTTCGTAAATGTGCTCTACTTCTGATATATGCGCTGTTTGATGTATTCGTATTGATTTCAATCAAACGTTAAAACTTTTGGGAATGCTAAATCCACTCGGATCAGTAACAAATTCCAAGATTCACAATTCCTCGAAGATTGAAAACAGTCAAGTCTGTACCGCAGCCCGGACTATTGCATACCCTACTATCGAAGAAGATATGCTTACCCATTGATTGTAAGCCCCTTGGAACCAGTGGCCAAGGCACCACCAATTACTAAATAGTTTTAGCACGATCGAACTTCCGAAGATATCATGTAAGCAGAACATACCGATCATCAAAGTCGTTGCAATAATGGCAAATTTCCTTCCAAAGTAATCGCAAGTAAGTCCAATGATCACTTGACCAAAGATCTCACCAACCAAAAGAGCATTGGAGACGCGAGTACTCGTTGCTGATGTATATTCCTTTGGGTATTGTTTCTTGAGAATGACGTTTGTCATTGTCATGATATTGTTGAAGTAGCCATCGGAGATCAAGGCAGCACCGGCCGCAAACTAGATGACAAGGTTAGAAAATGTTGAATTGGTTAAACCATTTGAGGGCTGAATCTTTCAAATGATCGAATCCCTCAAACGATTGATAATGTTGAACTTGGTTTGTGGTACTCACAATTGTAAACTTATCCGAAAGAGACTGTTGTGATTTTGGTACTATTTGCCCAAATGACAACGCAGAAGGTTCAGTCGACCCGTTCGAAGGAATTACATTTGGAGAGACGGCAACCTTGTTATCATTTTCTTTTGCCGCCATGTTGTGCTAGTTGAATCCTTCAAACGAGTTAACCTCCAAAATAAGTTTAATCTGTGAGATAGGATGGAGATATGAGATGAGTTGGATCTCTGATTAATATTTCAGAGATTTGAACCTTCAAGATATATATGTTTATTGTTTGTGTGGTAAGTTGCTGAAGAGATGGCCAACTGTCGGGTAACATCTGTGTTTCTTGGGCTGTCCTACCATCCAAAAAGCATCGTATGCATACAGAGAAGGAAGGGTCTACATATATCTGCGTAGGAAGGAGTTTTGGACCTAGGTACTGCAATTCGGGGAACGACAATCTGCACCCCAACGAGACAAGTCTGACATTGAACTACCTCAACGGCTGGAAACCACATTGATCTTAGTACCCATATGATTTTGACCTTGTGTCAAAAGTGGGCATATCAGGGAAAGAAACACTACATTCATAATGTATGTTCCTTGAACTGAGGAAGGTGATCCGCTCCCAATGGTTCTTTCCAATTCTTTCCAACATCCTGCAATAGGTATGTTGATAAGGATATGGTGATGCATTTGTCTGTCCATAGCCAATCGATGGAGCATGAGGAAGGTGGTATCCTACGCAAATGCTTAATTCTTGGAAAGAAATCATGTCGAGGGGAATCCAAGGAAATGCTTGGTATCACGTTATTGGTATACCTACGGAGTATAGGAAAGTAGTTTCAAACAGATCACGTGCATTATAATTAGTGGGGCCGGAATAATAGTCCAGACGCTAAGGTTGCCGACCTCACCCCGCACAGAATTCAAAATTCAAGTCGACCACGAGATATATTTTCCGCATACCGGTACTCTGCTTAGAGTGGACTTGATGACTAGAGAATACAGTATCAGATATTGTTCGTTGCTTCTGTTGGCATAGTACTATCACCATTGAACAGTTCTCAAGCTTAAGGAAATCTTGTCCACATTGTTGTTTGTCAGATGTGACTCGTGAGCTACGTCTACACCCTATTCTCTCTATCAACATCGTCTTCGCTGATGAATATGTACTTCCAACCTCATAACTTGAGGGCAGACTCTATATACGGAGTCCGCAGCCTAGTTGACCAGAACCCATACCCATAGACATGAGATCTATATTCCTCTTTGGAATGGCAACGTCCTAGAAGCCTTCAGAACGTCGATGGAACATTGCCACAAAGTACCTTTCGATATCCATTGCGCATGATTTCTTCTGTATGAAGGTCTCCTCCTATGTTCATGAATATTCGAGAAACCATCTACGTATGACGATGAACACACCAACTCGAATGGTGTAGAAACCGATTGCCCTGGTTGTGTGGTGCCATCACTCAACTCCCAGCGTATCCATGAAGAACCTAAAATGCAAATATGCAACCAAACACAAATTTTTGTATGGAAATGAGCAGACTTTCCGCCATGGATGACTGGGAGATAAATTATCACTAATTGACAACAGGGCACCAACAACGCCCGTGTGAAATGCGAGCCTATTCAATTAACGTATTCAACTCGCACCGTCTGTTTGGCCTATCTCGACTCGGATGTATGATGAATCTTTTCGTACTAATTAGCATGTGTATGATGATAGTGGCTGGTGCCGCTGGGTCTCCGAGTGGATAGTCGTCCAAGAGGGATCGCACAGCATGGGTTCCATCGGAGTACATACGGGGAGTCCTTAAATATTGCTCCATGTGTATCGAGTTGAGCTTTCTTATCCTAGCATGATCTCAGATGTATGGGATTCATAGTATTGACTGGGCTTTTGTGCTGTCTGTTGCTGAGATTGTACATTAGCAAGTCGATATCTATGTAGCCAATTCATTTTCTTCATGTTTATAGAGTGTCCCTCCATTTATCACTCGTATTAACTATGTCATAAAGAGATTAGAGTTGCTGCTAGTTGATACCTCCAGGTGAATATATCTCACTCCTGATTGGAAAGTATGAATCTAGAAAATAATCTCGGTTGATGATCATAGTTTCTACCGAACCTTTCTATATAGTAATTTTGAGTTAGGACACATGGTGTAAATATAAACCGAGCCGTCTTCTGGTGCTTTCTGGTTGGACCGATAAAGGCTTCATTCATCGCTACCTCTCTTTGATCAGAAATAAATTTTGCAAGTTTGTTTTGATATAGTTTAACAATCTGCCAACCACCAAAAACTCAACCATCACATTATATTTACAAATTAATAGCAAGGTCACAGAGGGCATCAATATACTCGACAATATAACATTCTAGTAATCATGCCCTCCAGCTGTAGGCGCAGTACTGCAAGAGCTCGTAAGTATCGAATATCGTTGTCGTCCCTTCCTTTCTCACTTTCGCCTTGAAATTCAATACGGCAAGCTTATTCAAATATTAGAAAGTTCTTACGGTATGTCGAACTCTATTCGAGATTTTAATAGCAGACCCAGTCTTTCAAATCATTCACATATACAAACACGACCTGCGGAGACCATTCCAGAACATCCAGAGCCAGACCATGAAAGCGAAGCACCAGATTTTATCATCAAAGAATCAGCTCAAGAAGAAATACGAGATCAATTGGAATACGAAACAAGACTACAATTACTTCGAAAAGATTATTCCACAAGCCCTACATCAACATCACCTACTCGTAATCTTACATTCGCAGAAGTAACAATGGCGGCTCGATCATCACGCTCGCGACGTCGAAATGAAGCATTATACGAAGGACCAGATATGATATTAGGAGGACCGATGACTCTTGAATCACTTGGTCCTTTCAGATATACCTTTAAAAAGAAGAAGAATCTGAAATCAAAATATTCAGCATCAATTATGAATGGAGAGACGATTGGATCTGATGATGGAGGTGTAAGTGTTAATGATACAAGTGTTGGTACAAGTACAAGTACAAGTACAAGTACAAATACAAGGACAAGGACAAGGACAAGCATGGATATGGGATATAGCGAAACTACTAGTGAAATTGGGACAGATCCAGATTTGGTAGGAGGTAGAAGTGGAGGTGAAGGTTCATCACGTCCTATCTCACCTGCACCGACCCCACAATTCAAATCATCTCATGATTTCCCCCACACAACTTCACAGAAACAACTAAATCTCTCAGAATTCACCTTTCCCACACAAACGTCAAAAAGGGTAACTCAGACTCTTCAAACCAACTCAGAAGACGTGAAGCATTTTGTTGGTATACGAGAGATTGATTGCGAGAACGACTTCAAGAACGAGAACGATAACGATAAAGAGAATATCAACAACATCATCGCACAATCAATTGGTACTTCTGTTATACCCGTTACTTCTGGCACTTCCACTTCCACTACCACTGCCACTACCACTGCCACTGTTACTACTACTGTTACTGAAACTGCCGATACATCTTGTGGATTATTTCCACCATTAGTCATACTCTCTCCTCCAGGCCTTTCCAAAGTTTCATCTTTTTCAAATTCTTCGAATGATCTTAGCAGAGCGCAAACTCTCAATACGGTTCATAGTGGCATCGATCTTAATCATTCATCCCTCGACTTTTTGAAGTGTGACGATTCAGATACACAATCGGTTAAGGAAAAGAGCGAAGCAGTCATGGCTCGCATCGCTGGATCAACAGCCGCGATGATGAGAAGCGTGAGTGATCTTACTGCTATTAACGATGGATTTGATTCTGTAGAATGGGATCCAGATCTTCCTGTTCGCTCAATTAATGATTCCCCCGAGCCATTGTTAGTCGAAGCCCAACCTGTGGCCTACACTACCGTGGGTTCCCGTGTAAACCCTAATGTACAACCCCAAATCTCAGCTCCTAATCGAATTCAGCGTGAAGGTTCTATGCGCAGACCTCAATTGGATCTAACGCATAACCGACAAGCTAACTATTATCCGCACACCCGAGGTCCGCCGCCACCTTTAAATATGCAAAATTCTATGCACTACGCGCAGCAGCTCGGTCAACATTCAAATTCTTTCAACACCCCTCCCGCAACATCTGCGAGGTCTGTTCGCCCTATTAGGCCTTCACAGAGACTGTCACAATCAGATCAAGAGACTCATACGCTTCTAAGACTTCAAGGGATGGTCAACGCGAGAGCACCGGGTGGCCACCATCCAGCTTCACCCAACACGCCAACTCCTGTATCTCATAACGATCATGTCTCGTCAATCTCCAATGAGGAGCAGGATATGGGAAGAGGAAACGATTTGCAAGGTCCTATATCAGGTCTAGAAAAGATGCAGACCTTACAAAGACTCGCAAGATTCCCAAATCCAATGCAGACCTCGGCCTTACGTCGGTTGTCCGAATTGCAGGCACCCAAAAACGATAACACTGCAAGTTTAAATGCGAGCGTCGAGGGCGCTGGTCAATGTTTGGAAAATCTCCCGCGAAACTTGAAAGATAGAGCCATGCTGGACGAGGCACAAGCCGCCAAGAATGGAGAGCTCGATCGTGGTTATACATTTCCTCCACCGGGTATATCTAACAAGGCATACAATCCACTTTTTGGTATCTATGGAGGATCTAGCGGTCATGCCAGAGATTCTGCCCATCATCGAGGGGTACCTGGGTATCCACAACCACTAACTGCTGGTCCGCCGGGACAGCGCTCTTACGCGAATAACAGACAGAGTAGCTCTTATAGCGAGGATGCATGGACGCAAGATCAAGCTAGTGCGAAACAAAACTCACTTACGAACCCCGGACCCGTCTCGCCATGGCAAGAGCCGAAAATTGATAACGAACAACACGGTGCTCAGGCCTCGTCTCTACCTCCTTCTGCACGAGCAACAGACACGATCTCTTTGCAGCAAGCCCTTCAGTATTATCCCCGTGGATTCGCCAGTGATATGACTGGGCGATTCACTCGTTTGTCATCTGAAGTACAAAGAGAGATGGGTCATCTCGACGATGAAGAAACTCCAGAGCAAGCTCGAGCAAGGAAGCAAAAGGAGAAGGATGAGTGGTTCTACAATGGTCAGAAACGCTGGAATATGACAACTGAGGATCACATCACGGAAATTGAAACCCATGCCAACCCTTTTGGCCCCATCGCTCCCCCTTTGAAGAAGACTGTACCTTCTGACAATAGACCTCTTCCCGGCATCACTATTTCTGAGATGCAGAAGAAGACAATTCCCGAAGTCATCGCTCCAATGCTAGATGGAACTTTCGGTAACATGTTCGCCATTGCAGCACAGCAGAAAGAGGGCAACTCTACTTTACCCTTCAATAGATATACCAAGAGTCCAGCATGGCACATTGATTCAAGCGAAAAGGGCAATGATTCTTTCTTTGGTGAAGACTTGGGAGCATATCAATTTGTACCAATCACTCATAGCGCCCAAAACAAGCGCTACTAAATTCTCACCAGTTATATAGTTCGCAACCGACGAGGGTCAGAGAGGTCTCCCAGTGCCAATAAACGTGGATATTGGTATCAGGACCTCAACGAAACGATCTCGCCATCGAACTTCAAGGCTTAAACGTTCCGCAAAACGATGTATGAAGCAGTGTTCAAGAAAATCTTCGGATGGGTTGCTAGATAACACTATGGCTCTCCATCATCGAGTGTTTTCTTGCGAGAAAGGCTTTTCTCAAAATTGCTTGTATACTTTCGATTTTCGTCGTTTTTCTCTGAGTATGATGGAAATTCTATTTTCTCGCCATGACTGATTGCTTCTTGTTACTGTTGCCGCGTTTTTCTTTCGCCTTTTGCAATAATTTCAGAAAATAAAAAATATAATTTGTAGGGAAATGAACCTTTTCGAGGGAGATGATGGATTAACAAGTTCTAGCATTACAGATTGAATTCTCGTGCACCTCTTGGCTTTCAACTTACTATGATCATTGGTAGTATGGCATAGTCTAGGGGAAACATGTTCGGGAATGCATTTTGATGAATGAGAAACATGGTGGCTTTTGGGATTATGTTGCTTGCTTGGTGCTATTACGGTTTTGGTTGGCTGATGCTTTTTGCTCGAGGCCGGAGTCCTGATATTTCTTCACGGCGAACGAATATGGGAAAGTTCTTTCCATCTGTCGCGATGGTTGCAATCAAATCGTGCTGGCAATTACGATCATGATGACTAGCGGGGTGGATGGTGTACCGTCGACAGACAAAGGACAAGCGCACTTGTGAATAGGCTTTCAATGGCAGCGAGCTGACATTCTTTTGTATGAGTAATTGATTGCGATCGCTAATTGCTAATTTTAATGGGATTACTTTACAAGTTTACCTGTTGTTTTGCCGGGTGCGAATGATGCTTGCCATGATGTTATGTTATATGATATCGATGTTTGCCTACCCGAGAATCTAATGACTTCAGATGAGATACCGGTAGATAGATATCAATGTTTAGAACTTCAGATCGCCAGCAGGGAATGCAGCTAAATCTAAACTCTAGACTCTACTATACGTAAGCGATAATGCTGGCCAAAATGGGGATCTCACTGTAGAGTGTACTCAAGTAGAGGCTGAGTTGCATGGACTGAGGTGATGGGTCAATGAATGTGTTGATGAATGAGTTGAGTTAGCGGTCACGATGTCGTTTGGGAATGGGATGGATGGAACGGATGGAATGGGAATGGAATGGAATGATTCGGTTTGTATAGAACGGAGTTTTCATGGGTATTGAATGTTAAAATATTTGATGAAGAGATACCAGTTAGGTACTCTGATTGATGAAGTGGCGATATATTAGTATGGTATGATATTGAGTCGTGGTCCGTGGATGCCGATTTTTATACGAGTATTATATACCTCATGATCATGAAGGGTAAGGTTATCTTAGGGTAATTATAGGTAAGGCGAGACTCGAGAGAGAGCAATAAGGAGACTAACCGACCTACAGTCAGGGTCGGGCTGAGATGGATCTAATCATCTTATTACATCTTATTATAGGCAACCATCAAAACCCTCACTGCTTCACTGAAAACCCTCAGAGAATGAAGATATATTGCTGAGCCGCAATTGCTGCGTGGTGGTGATGCTAAAATTAAAAAAAGCTTGTTTTGTGGCGATTCGATGGGTCGGGAATCGGGATGGGATGAGATGGGATGGGTTGGGTAATTGGGTTAGTAAGGCGAGTCATGTGTGAATGAGTCTTCACTATTGCTCACGAGTCAAATTTACTCAGAGTACCTACTAGTAGTATCTATCAAGTATACAATCAAACGGTCAACTTGAAGTCGCATAGTATCCGGATAATTGCAGAAAAATATCGGTATTAGTAAGCAATTTCTCACGTGATGCACGCACCATCCAATCGCTGCCAGAGAAAAGTCTCTGGCAAGTTGTACAAAATGGCTGAGTTTCGGAAAGCTGCTTACCGGTACCTCGAGGTGTTTCTGTTCAAGCATACTGCACTATGCTATATCATTCTATCATAGCATACCGTCTTTTCTGTGAATGGAAGAACCAGGAATAGAATCATCCTTCATCGCATGGAAAGGCGGAGAAATGCTAAAGGTTATAGTGGGGTGTCAGCTACACAAGCTCCACCGTTATTCTAAGAATAATTTTAAGCTTCTTCTTGACAGTGGACACTGACAGGGTTGTGGCTGTGGCATTCCGTAAATCGAACTCCATACCCATATATACCATACCATGTTGACGACTATTTCTCACGTCAGTCGTGCATACAAAAGTGTACAAAAAGCTCTCGGAATTATCGTAGCTCCATAATATCAATCTTTCCAGTAAAGATCTTCCTGGGAGTAATAAGGTTAATGAGAGATTTGGTGATTTTGGTCGTTGGGTGGGCTGTTGGTCGACCTATGAAATGTTGATGAGTTGAAGGGGTGATGAGTTGAGGCTGAGTTGGTATGATTCATCGGTTTGCTGATGTGTTGTCTTCTCGGCGATTTGGTTCTTCTGTATGGACAGTAACACGACATGGTTTGGAATGGGGTTATTGGATAGATGGAGAAGATTCGATGAATGGATACGTAGTGCATGCAGGTAGGTAGGTAGGTAGTTGTTGATTGGTAAGCGATTTAGGTAGGGTACCTATTGTTTAGGATTTGTGAGGCTTGTCATACACAGCCATTATATTCATTTCTTTCTTCAACGTCTTTTTTGTTGATCGTTGAACATATAGAGAGAGAGCTTCCTTCTTTGCTTCTATTCGAGGTTGTTCTGTGAAGCTCCACATATACTCGAGTATTCTTTTATCTACAAGTATAGATAGAGTGATCGTTAATCATCATGGCAAATCAACATCCCTATGCTCCATGGCGGAGGTTGATCTTGGTACCTTGTTGGATCATCCAAATTCTGTTTCCTGGCTTTACTTTTGTGGTGGTGGCTTTAGGTATCGCTATGATCATTCGCAATGATTTTGATGATGATGGGGATTATGATGGAGATGGCAATGTTCGAACGAGTCTGGTGTAAGTAAACATGGTTCAAAGCTGACTCCCGGCATGGATAACTGACAGAAATTCAATAGTATCGGATGGATTCACATTATATTTTCTGCCTTGTGCATCATCGTCACTACAACAGAGATTATTCTCATGCTGAGACGCAAGCTGAAACCTCTTATTTTTCTCATCATGAATATCTTCAAGAGCAGTTGTTGGACAGCATTATTGATCATCAGCTTGGTGAACACATTCGGTGTTTCTAAGAAAATAATGCCAAGAATCGCTGGCCTGATTGTCGATATTATATTACTGTAAGTCATTTTCTCCCATAATGAGTTCACATATCGAGCAAACACTAATCATCCCACCACAGCCTCGCCTTCTACATCCCCCTAGCCCACGGCTCTATAATCTACCACCGCAACCTCAAAGCCGCCTCTTACGAACCCGTCAACCCCAAACACACCAGCTATGATTCCGCCTCAGAACCATTCCCCGATGCCTTCCCCCCCGCCTATCAATCTTTCACCACCATAGAAGCAACCACCGATCTCGAAGCAAACGACCACACCACGGGAAGACCTCGACGTTTAAGTTATAATCATACGAGAGATACCAGGTTTGAATCGTACAAACAAACGAGGAGAAGCTTTTCAGATCCAAATGTTGTGAAGAGTATGATGGCTAGTCCAACGCAAACTTCGTGGTCGACGAGGAGTAGGAGTAGCACGTTGAATTTACCGACGCCGATGCCGATGCTGATGCCGATTCCGCAGGTGGTGGTGCATGATCATGATGAGCTTTTGGAGTTGAATAGGAGGGCGGAGATGCAATGATGATAAAAAAGTGCTTTGGTTTGGGTGGCGTTTGGATGTTTGTTTGGGAGCGGGTGGGGGGTATTTTATACCAAGGGATTCGGTGGGAATGGTTGGAGTTTTGATCTTTTCAATCGTGGTTTTTGGGGGGAGGGGGGTTATCTGATGTGATTCATGGATTCTTTGATATGATACCTGTGTAGATAAACCTAGAGACTCTAAGCAATGATATTCAATTTCAACGGCGTGAGATATCAAATGCGATTATTTGCACATATACATGTTACTCGTAGTGTACTCGAGTACATAACATTTATATGCATTAGATTAGTCAAGTCACACGAAAACAACATTTCCAATCCGTCCGTCGAAATTCAACATCCCATTGATCTCGAAGCTGCGTCGATCGATCTCGAACCTATATCTACAGATTCAAACCTGTGACCTCGTCATGTTTCTATTGTATTACTGCTTGTAAGATTATGTTCAAATTTAATCCTCTGTAGTTAAGTTATTATCATCCGAGTCCGACTCTGAGTCTGATGTTGAATTCTCACAGAAGTTGTATACCGGGCCCCCCTTCATTCCTGCTAATGCACTGATATTGTTTTGGAGATGGAGATGGGGTAATAAGATTTCATTGCTATCCCTGGATTCAGCGTTATCAAACTCGCGCGTTGTTCAATAATGAATGGGATGGATATGCATAAAAGTAATACTGTATTAGTATACCGCACAGCTTGTTGAAGGAAAGAGGTGTCAAAGAAATTCCAGACCCCCGCGACTTTTATTCCTCTTCATGGATTCGGTGCGATGTTTGGGGGGTATGGTATACCAATAAGGGGTGGGTGGGATGTGAGTGGATATTTGCCGAGGAATTGGAGGGGGATCGGAGAGGGGAAGAGAAGAGCGGGGATTAGAGAGAGTGAACAAAGTATGGAGGGGTGAAGGGATTCTTTTTTTGGCACATGGGAGTAGGGATTGTTGGTTCTTGATGAGGGCCGGTCTTTAGTGAGTGATGCACGGAAGAGGGTGGGGAGGATTTATGGGGGGTTGGAGGGGGAACAGGAGGGGAAAGATAGTGAGAATTTAAATTTACAGGGTGAAGGTTTGTGAGGGATTGGAACATGAGATCTGTAGATTGAATTTAAAGATTCGTGTAAATGATTGAAGATGGTTGTGCCTAATAAGAACAAACCAGATCCATTGCGATAAGATACAGAATCTACGGTCGGTTTGGTATCATCGTATTCTTCTGAAACCTGTACTCAATGATTCCAATAAGATAATACGAGTATACCATCCCACTTCGAGCTTCTAGCCATCTGTAGATCTCCTTGTTGGAAGCGAGACAAATTCCCACCTAACGCCTGCTAATGCCCAATTGGCCCAATTGGCCCCGGTATGCTATAGTAGTTTCAATGAAACGTATCTCCATTCAATTGATCAATCTGAAAAATGGCTGGTAAACTACCTTGAATATCACAATAAACCGTCACAAAACGTGTATGATAGCCATTGATAGGGTACCAAAGTGATGAGATTTTGCCATGTGTAAGGCGAAATAGACGCTTTGCCAGCCACCTTTTCGTTCAGACCCTGTCAAAAAAAAAATCATGGCGGCGACCAACATCAACATCCAGCCATCTTTTTCAACCTGCCACCTTTTTAACTAATAGGTACTCGCTCCGCGCACAAACCTTGAAGATGCATTCCTTAATTGATTTCTTATGTTGTTATTGGTGGAGTTGCTCACAGGATAATGAATCTTGGAACGTTGGATTTGCAAAGGGTTAATCGTAAGTTTCGTCTTGATTCTCACATTTTCACTGAACCTTTCTGCTCGCTGCAATTTCTTGATCCTTCCCCTTCTTTTACTGACATAAACCTTGTAAATAGACTCGCGACCTCAGTTGCAACAGGTGCAAGCTTCAGATTTACTTAGCGGTGTGGATGTGCGGTACGGAGAAAATACACCGTCACTTACATCGAGTAGTTCGGATGCAGCTACGGTAACACGGTGGGCGACCCCTCCATCTCGTTTTCGTACTCCGGAAAGAAGTTACGAGAATCCGGGAGATTCGACAGAGGTTCCTTTGATTAGTGCTAGTAATTGGGAGGCTTCTCATCATCGATACAATAGTAATATGGTTCGGTTTGACGAACAGCAGATTAGGAATATGGAAGCCGAAGCTTTGGAGAGACCGAGAAGGATGTCAGATCCGGCTGAGGATGAAAGTCCACCGACTCCCAATAATGACGATACGCCATTTATTAGATTTGCGATCGATCAATTGACGAGAGACGAAGAGGCGAGGCGAGAGGCAAGGAGAGTTCAACAATTAGAGGAGGGCCAACAGCCGACTAATTCGCAGAGTTCAGAGGAGTATCCAGTGGAGAGAATCATTCCAGATGAAAATCGATATATTCCCCAACGACCAACGAGAGCAGAACTCGCACTCATAAGGAAACATCGCTCTACACCCGGACCGGGACGATTATTTGGTTTTAATGCCACACGACCTTTATCAACTCCACCTACCCAAAACGAGAGCAGAATACCTATAATAGCGCCTCAACCGCCTCATAACGATAACGACGCCGAAATATTTATCCCAACGCAACCTTCACAAAATACCAAACGATACCCAGAGCTAAATTTCTTACCCACGATATTACGACCTTTTTCTTTGCTTGCGATCATTACATTATGTCTTCTTATGACTGCAGCGATTATGTTTTGCGCGATATACTCCAATTATCATGACGGCCTTTATGCATGGAATACAGGTGTTTATGGTGGTAGATATTTTATATTTGGTTTTCTACCACAGATGTTGGCGGCGTGCATATTTGTATATGTTCAGAATATGATGGCTGCGATTACGAGAATTATGCCCTATACTTTAATGGCAATGGAAGATGCAGAGCCCAGAACTAACGCGTTGTTTTTGGACGCTTTTCCAAGACATATGCTTTGGCCGAGATGGGATGGTCCTATGATGATTGATATTGGGGAATCATGTTTATGGTTATCGGTTTTCACGATTCCTTTGCAGGGATGTTTGTTCTCTGTGGTATTGGTTAATAGACATTGGAAATGGACAGCTGTTCAGGGGATTGCGTGGACTTTGGTGGCAGTTTACATATCGATGTGTATGGGATTGGTTCTCATCGGAGCCTTTTTCTTCCGTCGAACAACTGGATTGTTGTGGGATCCTCGATCATTGGCTGATCTCATCGCGCTATTACCACGGAGCAACAGCCTTAGAGATTACCCAGGTACAGAGACCATGAAATCGAAAAAGGAGATCAGAACTAAGCTTGCGGATCGAAGTGATCGATTGGGGTATTGGAAAACACCTAGTCCGGCACAGGGGATTTTCTATTCGATTGGAGAAACAGGCGCACCGATAAGACGATACACGCTGGAAGGTGGAAAAGTCGAGAGGAAAATTAGCTTTGGTAGTGGTGCCTCTGATTTAGAAGAAAGTCGCCCATGCCTCCACGACACTGCCACTCGATTTCGTTACATACCATGGTTCCTGAGAGATACATTCGTGGCTGTGTGGTGTGTCACAGCGTTTTTCCTTTTGTTAGCATTGATCATCATATCATTTCTTCCTTCGACTGCAATCCACAATGGATTCTTACCATTGGTCGTTGCCACTCCGAACGGTTCTGGATACTCTGCAGCGAACTTCTTGTATAGCTTCATCCCATCTTTACTTGGGATGATTCTCTATCTTCTGTTCCAACCACTGGATATGGCTTTCCGAAAGCTACAACCTTGGGCAGAACTAGCGAATCCAGATGGTGTTTCGGCGGAAAAATCACTTCTTCTCGACTACACAGCTGCACTACCATTTCAATGCACTTTGAACGCCCTCGGAAATGGTCACTACCGCGTAGCCTGGCTCTCCCTGTCCTCCTTCCTCTTCATCATCCTGCCCATCCTCGCCGGCGGCATATTTTTCCCCCTGACCATTAACTCGGGCGAAGTCCGCATGCTTCCCAACCTTCCTTCCTTCTACATCTGTCTTGCATTCCTCATCATCTACTTCCTCACTCTCCTCCTCCTTTTTCCAAAGAGACGAGCGATGCATTTACCGCATCCAGTGGACTGCCTAGCTGAATTAATCAGCTTTTTGTATTCGAGTCATGTACTCGATGATGCGGCCTTTAGCGCTCCAAGGTCCAAAATCGATCTAGTAACGAGATTGGTGAGCACTTCGTCGCATTTTAAGGGGGACGGCGCAGTCTATGCGTTTGGGGTTGGGACGGGTAGGGGTGGGAATGAAGTTCTGGGGTTGGAGAGATTGGGCAGGAGAGGAGGGGATCAAGTTATGGTTTTGGGTTGACGAGGGGAAAAATGGGATTAAAATTTAATGGGATCAATGGATCCTTGAGTTGATGATTGTTTATGATTGACTTGACTTTTTAATGATTGAATGCTGAAATGAAGCTAATGTAATGGATTTTTGATTTTGCGATGGAATCATGCATGGTGTTTGGTATTAGGAAACCGTGGTTTTATATGACATGACATCAGATGGGATGGGATGGAATCAGATCAGATAAGATGAGATGAGATGATTACCTGCGAGGGTGATAGACGATGATCTTGATGATTGGATATGGATATGGATATGGATAAAAGGACATATCATATACATATAGTCTTGAAGAGTTCGTTTGATGACCTGACCATATGATGGATGAGTAAGTAAGTGAGTGAGTGAATGAATGAGTGAGTGAGAGAGGGAGATATGATTGTGATTGTAATGGATCACACTCTCTCCTTAAAGAGGCGAATCGGGAGGAAGCTGAGAGAATCTTGGAATGCACAAACTTCCACGCTGATAGGCTGCGCAGAAATACTCCGCTACCCGTGGGGACCCGTAGATACTCTGCCCCGCGAGGGATCTGTTAATGATATTTTAGACCCGCGGGGGATCCGTTGAGCTTTCAAAATTATCCACCCCACAAATACTCTGCAAATTTATTAATTTTTATAATATTAATATAATTAATATAAAGATTAATATAAAAACTAATGTATTTTTATAATTATACTAATATTATATTAATATTTATAATATTATAAATATTATAAAATTTATATCTGCAGAGTATTTGCGGAGTATTTGCGGTGGATACCCAACGGATCCCCATTATCACGGGGCCGTTGCAGGTTCTGGTGGGTACTAGGTATGATGTATGATATTCGACAAGGAGAGAAGGAGGCGCGCGGAGCGACGCCGACTATATGGTGGGTGGATGCCTAAGGCATCTACCCGAGCTAACTAAGAATGGGTAGTGGACACGTGATAGGTGTAGGTACGTGTAGGTAGGTGTAGGAACGGGTAGTGAGCCCGCGACACCCATTCAGATTTTTCTATTATCCGCCCCGCAAACAGAGGACCCGCGAGGGCCGCGGGTACCCATTGCGCAGCCTACACGCTGATACAGGCATTATGCTAAGTATGTCATTTATACAGCAAATTAAATTGTCCAAAACACAATATACAACTTGGCCTCGAAGGATCACCTGCAGAATGTCTAAAAGCTGCTTTCATTTGGGAGAGACGCCAAAATGGTGATTTACGTGGAGATAAAGATCTATCTAATTGATGTTTATTATTCTATAGTACTCAGAAGTCTATATATAATCCAGATGGTGCAATTTCGAATTACCAAAAATCCATTGAAATGATGTTGCATCCCATGACTAATTAAGGTTTCCTATCCGGAAATCCCAAGTCGACGCCAAATGATGGGAATATATAACGCATGAGTTTGCCATTCTTCGTCAAATCATCCGAATAATCATTCAGAATCTTCATGTCTTCGTCGTCTAACTTCACAATATTCTTGTTTGCCTTTATCCTATCCGGAGTGATGGACTTGGCGAGAACAGAACTTCCTCGTGCAACTATTACAGGTATTTATTAGCACACGTCATATCTCATACCAGTTAAAGCATATCATATCTATCAAAGGAGAATCTTACCATGGTAGCTGAGCAGAATTGAAGCTGGTGGTACATTCCTCTTCTTTGCAACTTCCACAATTGGCGCAGCAGTAAATAATGGGCTACCGGTACTTCCAAGAGGACTATAAGCTGTGATGTGAATACCCTTCTCCTTGCACAAATCGTAAATCTCCTGTTGTGGCAATGAAGGATGATTCTCGATCTGGTTGACGGCTGGAGTGATGGTGGCTTTTGAGAATAATTCTTTTAGATTACTAACACTGTAATTCGAAACTCCAATGGCCTTGGTTTTGCCAGTCTGGGAGATCTTCTCGAGTTCCTGCCATGTCTGCGTATGGGACCACTCGGTCTGAAGATCACGAGAACCGTCGGCATATCTCGGGAACTTTTCGTCGTTTCCTGGAAATTGAGGTATGGGATTTTAGTCTCCGGTTAATATGAAGGGGTGACGTCAGTAAAGGAATGTGCTCACCGTTTGGATTCATAGGGACTGGCCAATGCATCAAATACAAATCAACATAATCCAAACCTAGACTCTTGAGACTCTTATTGAGAGCCTCCTCAACTCGTGTATGGTATGTACACCATAGTTTGGTAGTAATGAAGATATCTTCTCTCTTGATTCCGGATGCGAAAGCTTCATTGAGTCCTTGTCCTACTTCATCTTCGTTGCCGTATACATATGCTACGCGAATCTGTTAGCCATTGTTCCCGATATAGTCATGTCAATGAAAGTACAAGGAGACATTACCGCAATCGATATGTTTATATCCAATTGACAATGCGTAGGAAACAGCTTTCGCAACTGCTCCTGGCTCAGATTGCCATGTTCCAAGTCCTAGAGCTGGAATCTCAGCGCCAGTGTTGAGTTTGAATCTTGTGTCTGCCATTGTTTTCTTGATTGATTATGGTTGTTATATCTATCTCTGTAATCGATGAAGACGAGTTGAAGAAGCACAACAATTTTTAATACGACGTGGCAGCTTAAACGTGGGGGGAAGGGGGAGGATTAGTAATCAGAAGCTATCACCTTTTAAGGTGGAGGGATGATGACATTTCTCAGCGATCCCACCAGTTCATCTCCACCACCCTAACACCCGGGTCCACCCCACTACCCCCACTTTTGATCGTGCTGGTGGAGGGGCAACCGGTACTTTGTGATCAACATTGGGGAATCATGATGTTGTGACTGGATTTTCCAGTTTTCTTCACATGCAATACCACTTGACGATCGGACAAACTGTTTCATGCGTTGCCGGGATTAGCGATTGCTAAAGCTCTCGGGAGATTGGTCTGTGAATCAAGAGATTTGGGTGACCCGTTTCAAATAGTGACTGAACGATCGGTCATCTTGTCTGGCAGCCGTCAATGACAGAGAGCTCCCAGGGTCATCGAGGTACTTTTAAAGATCGTGTTAGGTCTAACACTCACTACCATTCATGGAGATAGAAATCTCAATCCTTGCTTGCACGTTTAAGTCACGGCGTGCTAACTCTTCCAAGTGGTAGCTAAGTAGGGACGCATATACGATTGAACGAGACAAGTACAGGACCACGGTAGCATAATTTTCGTCGACAACTTTTCGAGGAAAAATCGCTTCGTATCGTGATATATTGAGATATGTTTGAGATCTGCAATCATCTTGGATATGGAGCAAGATCTTCTGCCCTGTACGTTCAATTATCATCGATAACAGGAGAAACTGGCGCTCGTTGGCAGACACATTGTTACACTTAGGATAACTTGTGTCTGGATATCCGCGGATAACGCCAAGGGATGAGGTTGACAATTATAAAGATATACTTACATAATATGTGTCACATGACCAATGTATCGCTCGGTTAGCCCATCTCGGCTACTCGAATGTGACCGGTATGTCGCGGCGCCTGGTACTGGCATGTGGCCACCGCTGCGAACGGCAAACTTTGTGTGGGTTATTCTTAAGATACGCAGGCTCCGGCCACATCTTCCACAGGTTTCGGTTCGAATACGCAGAGCAGTGATGCAAGGCATATCAACGACCAGTTTCATAGAACAGTTTAGCTTGGCTGAATGGATGAATCTACAAGACCAAATGATATAGCTATAATAGGTAATCACTTGACGCAAGTTGAGGAAGTATTCGTAGGTTGCCTCGAGAGCTTACACGAACGATACAAGGGGTGGGTGGGGAAAATTGTAATCCACGAATAGGGTAAACGACCTATTTCGGTTAATACGGCTTATGACAAGATAGGAAGTTACAGACAGCCTTCTGTGAGTTGAACCGAAAACAAATCTACTGCCGTTTCCGCCCGATTTGTTGAATTCTGAGCTTGGTCGGAAAAGTAGCCATTATTACCGACACTTGTGAGGAGCGTACAGATAAAGACCCGAAGAAATCAGAGCAGTGAAGCTTCTTGTACAAGTCTAAAGTGGAGATGAAATGAGAAAGACAAAGTGTGAGCTCTGAGCAGTAAATAAATCTGATCTAAGCAACTCGTACTAAGTTATGAAAGTGCAGCGCCCCATATGAACTGCAAGATTCGGCTAGTAGGGCTTCTCGCGTAACAATAATTCCATTTGGCCATACTTCTAATGCAGATACCGATGCGATCCTTCCATATGAGAATCGTCCGGGCGGTAACGTTCTGCTTCGAGCGAGCCGAGACATCCATCCGGGTTCCCACTTATAATGAGGACTCAAGCGCCAACATTTATCTGAGGGCGTACCGGTATGCAAATAGAATTTTCTTGCAGTAATGGTCGGCTTTCCATGGAACGGTGCAAACCTTTGAACCGGGTTACTTTTAATGGTTTCTGAGGTGGCCCGAAAGTGGGGTAGTGGACTTATCAACAATTCTCCATGCACTGGAGTCCATGCTGTGTGGTAGTAACCAAAGACTTCAAGAACCAACTGTTGGAAATGTCAGTGACTGTAAGAACTATATCATATAGACAAGGTCTTCTAGTAGAGACAATACCAATGGGGGAGCCGGCGACCGATGACAACCTATACGAGCTCAATTCAGCTTTAAGAAGTCATGTTAATGGCCCAGCACCCGAAAGTCGTCGTAAGTTTCTTCTTATTAGCTAGCTCATGTACCGGCGGAATTGAAATGTTCATTATGTCTTTACAGGCAGTTCTCGTAGCAGTCTCTTGTTCCACGACTTCTCGTTATCTCGAGCCAGATGCACTTGTTCATCCCTCACGCTCATCTCTTTCACAAGTTGGGGTTTCGCTCTCGGGATTCAGGATAGCCACGCCGTCCTCAACCCCAATTTCATCCCAACTCCACTACGTTTGGGGTTCACGAAAAACATCAGAACCCCCAAACGAGATAACCTCACAAACTCCTTATCAATGTCACCAGAAAGTCTTGTTTCTGCTAGACGAGTTAGAGAAACGACGGTTTTTCTTTGAAGGCGGAACTTTCGACACCGTGACCGCCCTCTTATCTCACAAAGAAACCCTGGAAATTTGCTATCAAATGGTGTGTTGTCTATATTGTACCACTTGGCCGGAGAACTTAATAATGCTCGGCCTAGTTTCACAGACAAACCGGTCCAATTGTGCGAGAAGATAGTAGAAAATGTCTCTTATCAACGGATTAGAAAGGCATAGTAGTGAAAACGCCGTCAATTGCCGGATCCTTGGATCGGACACTTTCGATAGGCAGGGCATAATTTTTAACTATTACGAAGTCGATGATTGTCAGTGGAAAGCGATTATCGAAATTTTGATGACTATATAGCTAAGCGGCTTAGAGAGACTTTTGAGAAATCAATGAAAGGACCAACTGTGAGATGTATCTGAGGCTTCGTTGCTTGGAAATTAACATATTTGATAGCTTAGAAGCTTTTAGGTGGAGGTCATGATACACTAAAGTGCTTTCAAAGTGTTTTAATAATTTAACACCGGCTTTAATTGCTGTATTTGAGGAAGTGTGGTGTTTCACGCAACCCGGTTACACCGTGACATTTATTGGGTTACAATAAATTACCCGAGTAGGATCCAGCGGTAAAAGTTTGTTATCAAAGATAGTTTGATACAAGCGCATGGTTTTCAAAATAAACGTGCAAATATCTACCCTTCATTAACACCAAATAGACATGCCGCTTATTATTTGGTTTCTTTCTCGTTATTGTTAGCGCGTCAATTGCCGCCACGGCTTCGAAACAGGCCACCATACCCATTTTACTCCATCATAAGCTCGCATTGCTGAATATACAGTTGGTTCAGCGGGTACAAAGGAGCTCCTTCCCCTTGTCACCTGTTGGTAAATCATAACATAAATTGTAAACTCCATCCACCGAGGAAATTAGATTACCAAACCTTAATTTCATACTTCTTTCTATATCCTTTTATTGAAGATTTATATCACGCTTTGACACCTTATCCGTATGAAAGAGTCAAAAAAGTCATGTTTATCCATTCATCTCTCCTATTCCTCCTGTCCGTCCTATCGGTAACCACACTCGCTCATCCCAGCTCGTCGCCACAGATCACACCAACCCCAATAACATCGCAAACGCTCGCCCATCGTACCGAGTCAAACACCGCCGTGACTGTTTCCACCAAGCCGATCGCATATCCTTCCTTCTGCTGTGCTTATAATAGTCTGAAAAGTCCCGATTCCGCCACCGTGACAAACTACACTCTCAACTTTCCTGGTTTTGGAAACACAGACGCTTCCGCTGCCCATACCGGCACATATCCGAATTCAAATGCTCTTTGTGCGCCTGGACTTGATGATGCTATCAACGCAGCATTCAAAAACGAGGCTGATTACACAATGACGATTACATGTTTACCGAGTTATGGGGGGAAAAACGATACATATGTTTACCTAACCATGGTTGTTCCCACTCAGGATCAGGGAATGCCTCTCTTAGAAGTTGTGGTAAGTGATTTGTCTCCCCATTTTTATTTGAGTCTCTCTTGAAATTATCATACAAGCGGAGGCAACTCAGTTGCAGTCCAGATCATAATTTTACATGCTAATGGGGTAACTACAGAGAAATTGGGCACCAAGTTGGGCATCCCCAAAATGGGACGATCTTCGAACTCTCGTTCCGGCTGACGCAACTTGTGCGGAAAGTGCTTCTTTATGCCAACCACAACAGGTAAGACTCTACCATGATTTCTTGTGGAGACAAGTGTTCACATGCTAATACCGATTATTTAAAGATGCCACTGGGATATTGCTCATCGAATTGTTAGCGGAAAGCTCTGAGTCAGTCGTGAGAATGTTTCGGTATTACTATTGGAATACACCTGGATGAGGGATGAATTATGGGCTGTGCGGCTAAATTTTCATTTTATTTAAGATTGTTGTTGTACTGTGTGGATCACATTTGCTGTACGTATAAAAAACCAATAGCCGTGAAAATAGTAGTATTTATTACAAGAGTTGTTGGAGTGAGGTATGTTGTGTAATATTGACAAGTATCGCAGTTGTTTCAATGCCATATGATATCCCGGCAAGACTTGACCCTATCTAAATACAAATAAAATGATGAAATCCTGCGCCAAGGCAGAGTTTATTTCAACTCGATCAATTCCCTTGCAATATCAAAGTCTTACTTAAAATCGAAATTTTACCCCTTGTTCAAATCAAACTGCAACATTCCACACTTGTTCTCTTTAGATGGCCAAATTAAGATGTTATATTGAACTTTCATCCACATATCCAAGTCAGATTTTGATATTGACAAGCTGACATACGACTCTAATTTTATAATCTAAACTCAACATTCGAGATGTGTCCCAATCAAATGACCAGATCCAATCCCGATATTGATCCCCGAGTCCAACCCTAACTCCAACATCCAGAGGCTGTCCCAAAGCTAACAGCCTCAAAAGGGGAAGAAAATCACGTGCAATGCAAGAGGCCTCCAAAACTCAACAATAAAGATTCGATAGATAAATACCATACTGGGAAGAGGACATCATTTCCCCCTATCACCTCTAGCTTCGTTCAAACCATTCTGGATCTGTTCTGGCTCAATTGGTTCACATCCGGTATCGCTAGGAACTCCTATTCTTCACTTAACACCCTTTGCTGCCAGTCTGCAGCTCCTGGTGCTCCCGTTTACTAGACCTAGAGATCTTGGTTGAGAATGTACTAACAAAAGAAACTTGAAGTAGAGGGGGGATACGAAGCTATTTAAAAACAATCAGGACTAACTTTTGAGCTGCGTTCAGCGATCGAAATGAAGTACGGGACTAATTCCAAAATATGGCATTTATTACATGCAGTCATAAATTGTGTCGATATTCAGTCACTGTGGAGGCTGATATAAAACCCATTATCTGAGTACTGATGAGTGATTATTCTAATTAGTATCCTCATGACCAAAATTAGGCATAACTACAGTGAATATTGAAGTAAAAATGTATCCACAAAGCCTTTTCAGTCATCTTTTATAGTAAGATATGAAAATGAAATTTGGCGTCCAACCCACTACAAATTATCGTAGATATTGATTCGTGATACAATTACTCTATGAATGGATTCTGAGTAAAAGACTTTTCAACGGTCACGTAAATTATGAATGCTGATTCACGCACTGCAAAATCAATCCCACGACTGACTATCTTATACATTCCATTAAAGAAACCCCTGTGCACGCCATTGAAGCGTCAATATGAAGTCGAAAGCTGAAGACTTCCTTTAAAGAAGAGAACCCCTTTTCCTTTATCGGATTAGACGAATCATATGTGTTTGGCCTCACGAGATGACACTTCGCGATCCATCTGATTCTAAAAAGAGTTTCAAAATACCTTTTATAACGGATGATCACGAATGCATCAGCCAAAAATTATATTTAGCATATTAATTCCAATATCGACTATCTGATTAATACCTTGCCTATGATTGTTATGGATGGTATTTATCATACCCGACACGCTTGGCACATGCAAGACCTCGTCACTCATTATATATATCCACATTAAACCAAGCCAATATACACAGGTACTGAATAAATCATAACCAATACATACTGCAACGACATCAATACATCAGAATCAATACAAAAATTACAGTACTCGAGTAATACAAATAATATATAATATCATCGATTTTCATTTCATTTCCTAGCTTATTTTCTCTACCCCCCTCATCATCACCACCAGCCACCCAAGCAACCACTGCTACTCAAGCAACCACTGCCACCCCTCAAGCAACCATAAAAGCCATCATGATACTCGAGTACAAACAAGCAAATTCCCCACTCCCACTCCCATCCCAAGCTCCATTTTCCCATTCCTTTTCCATTCCGTTCCCATCCCATACCATATCCCACCCACATTCAATCATAAAAAAATTCGTACTCGTGACATAGTATAACATAAAATATACAGGGTATAAGATAAGCCAGCTTGCTTTGCTATTGCGATATAATCAAATCATATCATATCATATCAAATCACCTCAAAACCTCCAGCGAATCTTCAACCTCCATCACAAAATGTCAAATTACCCCCCCTTGCTAGCCTGCTAGCCTGCTAGTCGTATCAATGTACAATTTGTACCACTCCATCCTTCTTACATCTATACCACCTAACCCCAACCCTAGAAATATAAGAAAATATAAACCTTCACTCATCACCCGTATATCCACCCGCATAAGGATTCCACTCCATACCCGGATAGCTCGTTGCAGACATTTGCAATCTTTGCTCTCTTGCACGTCCTGTTTCAATTTCGACTCCTTCATGATCGATCTTGTCGCCAATCGCATTTTCATCCCCATCTCCAACCTCTAAATCACCACTGATTCCCATCTTCGTTTCTTCCTTCATCTCCGCGTATTTTCCTACCATCTGCCTATTCACAATTGGTAATCTTGGAATTGCATCGTATAGATTCATACTATTCCGCTTCACACTATTGTCACCATCCACATGCAGTACATACTCTATAGCATTGTCCGCTTGTGGTTGCGGGGACGGGGAGTCGGAGATTTGCGATACAGCACTAACGAGACTCCTCCCCGTGTTAGACCGCTGCAAACCATCATCTGTAGCAACCGAAAGATTTCTATGTCTCTGCAACTCTGAGCTATGCTGAGGCGGAGAAGGCGGCAATGGAAAGCGATCGATATCAATATTCTCGTTGAGAGGAAGAAACTCTTCTGCAGGTAATGGCACTGAGATTGGAATTCTCGAAGCTACGGGATGGTCCTTGGGAGGAGGGACAGGTGGTGTAGATGAGCGACTGGATCGACTGTTTGCGGTGCTGTCATGTGGTAGTGCAAGCTGGAAAGGACGTTGCTGGCCTGGCTGCTCACGTGCGGGTGAGCGAGCTAAAATATCCTCATGACTCGGATGATGAGCGCGATCAGAAGACGTAAATGGTGAAATGTGAGTATTTATTGCGGGTAAGATCGGAACTCTTCCTTCGGGCGTGAAAGTCTGATGAACTGATGGCGATTGATACAGGATTGGTGAGCCGGAGTGTGCAAGGGGCGAGACAGGAGATGGTATCGAGTACTGTTGGGATGAATTGGAAAGAGTATCTCCCAGCGACGGACGACGAAGATTGTTCAAGCCACGTGGGTCATAGCTGGTAGGCGTAGCAGTTGTTCCATCACCGCGTACAAGATTGTATCCTCCTGGAATGGGGACAGAACCATACTGAGGCTCGGGAACTTGAGGAGGTGGGGTACCATGCCGACGAGGACGGTGGTGAGAATAAGAGTGCGATTGTTGTTCTTGTTTGCTACCATCCGGTTTACTCGTACTGCGGGTTCGTCCTCGCTGCTGGTCTGTTTTCTTTAATCTTTGCGTAGGTGTGGCAGCCTCATGAGATTCCGCGTGGAGATCTGAGTACATTCTCGCCGTGGGAACAGTCATGGGTCTTCTTCCATCGTATTCACTTCTCTCACTATCTTTGTCTAGCGTATAAGATCTTTTCCTAAGCATACCAGTCAATAGTCCACTCACAGAAGGACGTCTCACGCGGAGTTCCTGGTGCGTCCTACTATCCTCTGTTGGGTTTTCAATTTTCTGAACCGAGGTAGAAGGGGCGAATTTAGATAGAAAGTTCAACGGGCGACTTGGTCTTCTTGTGTGATCCACATCAACGTCTTGTGTCGTTTGTGCTTCGAATTGAGGAGACGAAAGCGTGCCACCTCGAGGACTATAGCTCGAAAGATCTGTTGTGGCTCTTTTCGGCTTGAAAAGTACCGATCCATCTCCTTTAGAAGAACGCGAGAAAAGGCCACTTAATCCACTCAATCGACTCTTTTTCTCATCTCTTTGCAATGCTTTGCCCATTGTAGTTGTAGAACGTCCGAGTGCATTAGAGCGTGGGGTCTGCAACGTAGAAGAGGGATTGAAGGAAGATCCCGGGGTGGTCCTGAGACTGTCATGCGGACTTGCCATCAGATTTGATTGGCTACCAGAGTAATGCGCTACCATACTCTTCCTTCCAATAGGCGAGTTTGATGGCTGTTCCCCAGTGATGTCAAAATTACCCCAGAAACCAGATCCTCTCTGTTTCTGTCTATCGTCACGTGAAGTGTTGGTAGCAGAAGTATCGATGGGAGATATTGCTTCGTCCCTTGACAGTGAATTTTTTCGCTCTCTCGAAATAGAGCGGACGAAATTCATACCCCTATTGACGAGATCTGAGCTACGTCGTCTTCGATGACCAGTGGCCTCTTGATAATTTTGAGAAGGGCCGACTCTTGGAATTTCACTCTCGCTGGTTTGCTGGCGTGGAAGAAAGGCTTCGGTTCGACCTATGGGTGCTTGATAATATCCTCCAGGCATATCATGGTTGTTTTCAATTTCAGCAGTCATACCTCCAAATAATTCGGGATAGCGCTGAGCGGAAGAAGGGGGCGACTCAAAGGGTAAAGCTGGTATCAATGGTGGCGGTGCATTGCTATCACGACTTGGAGCAAACTGCTGGTCAGAAACCGAACCTCGCCTTGATCGGGAACCAACCGAGGGATCATTCCAGGAATATTGACGAGTATGCCTAACGGCTGAGTTGGATCGCCGCGCATCTTGAGAGTTGTTATTACTTTGAACAAATGGGTCGGAGACGCGTGGAAAAACCGAAAACCGAGGAGGTGCGTTGGTCTGAACATTCGACTGCTGGCCTCGAAGGGGTCCAGCAATTGGCACATCTACCTGAGAAGTTTGCTGTGAGTTAGAATCTCCACTATTGCCTGCCGTCGTGGTGAATGTGGTTACATCCTGTAAACCACCATTTGATCCATCTTCATCCTCATCGTCATCGTCAGATATAGGAAATCGGGTTTGTGGTTTCCTGGATCCAAATTCGAATCCAAACTTGGATGTGCGTCGGATAGGTGGCAACGCCTTGAACGAAGGCTGCCTTCCTTGTCCCTCGAAGCTGGCAGTATTTTGATCTGTGGACTGGATCGAAAGAGGAGTTTGGACTGATTGTATTGCAGCACGGCTTGGTTGATCAAATATGGCCGCCTGATCCAAACTTGCACCCCGTGGCCGATTCATCATGCTGATTGGAGGCTGAGTTGATGCTTCCGGACCTGCAGTAGGTTGCATTGTGTCTTCTTCGAAAACCGACGAGGCTAGAACTAGGACTCTTGAGCCTGATTGCTCTTCTGGGGCATCATAAAAAGCCGCGTCATTACTATTTGAACGCGTACTCCTTGGCTCTTTAGCCGAAATGAAAATGTTGTTTATTATTAAATCGGCGGCAATTGGATGATGGTCAGTTGGCTCATCATCAACGAAGCGATCTTGTTCATTAATGAGAGTAGCGTTGTAAGGATCCCACGTGGGTTGATACTTACTGATTGGTCCCGGATAATTTACAAGATGTTCATCTTCCGTTCCATCGGGAGCTAAAATCTTACCTGCAATTTCACGTGACATTTGATTCATTTGCGCCCCATATGCCGCTTGCGCCTCTTCATTGCGTATAGGATTGCCAACCATGCGGGGTGGAGTAAGCATATCCAATGAAGTTGACATTCGCGACTGGGTGGCTGGTTCGGATGGCGGGTTCTGCTCTGCGTCTCGACTGGCGTCGGTTCGGCCTGTAGCTCTCGATAGACTGAGTGCCAGGCCCCATGATGAACGATTAGGGTTTCTCGGCTTGGGAGGGGAACTTGTCTATAGAATGGTTGAAACTTAGCCGCGGAACACTCATGATGATGGGCCACATAGCAAGGAGAAAAACAATTGTGATGGGGCTGGATTTTTCCTTAGTGGTACACACCCCGTCAGGGAGGATTGGAATGCAATACGCATTCACCCACGCTAAATAAGCAAAACGATAGAAATTCAAAAATAAAACGCCTAAACACCCTGTATCCAACCCAGAAGGAGACGTTAATCTACCTTATCACTACTACCGGCCGCACGAAGCCTATTCTTGCCTTTTGCTAGTAACCCTTTACCTGCCTGGAAACCAGCCTTTCCAGCTTTACCACCGAACATCCCAGCCGTGTGAAGGAATTCTTTCCCTTTCGCTTGGACTTGTTGAGTTGTGATCTTGGCATGAGCTGGTGAGAAGCCTTGCTGAATGCCAGGAGGCGCGGTCTGCCCTGGTCGTAATACTGGTGCTGATGCCTGTGGTGGCGCACTAGCATTGAGGTACTGTTGATAATAAGGTGACTGTAGTGCCCCTGCTCCACTCTTGGTGTTTCTTCGGGCTGAGCCCGTCGGTACACTTGATCTAAAGCCTCCGTATGATTCAGTCACATCAGCATGTTCTGGTTGTTCGGCCTTCAGGGCAAAAATCCATTCATGCATGCCAGAGTCCATAGATGCGAAACGCTCCCTTGTTTCATCGAACGCATGAACTCTTTCGTGTATATCTTTCATTGCTAGAATTTCTTTGAATGTCAAAATTCTGCCTAGATTAGATGTCCGTGGAGAAGGGGCAGACCCACGCCTTGAAGGCGATGGTTCACGTGCCATGAGAGGACTTGGAATACTCGCTGGAGAGTGTGGATTAGAACCTAGTGGATCGGTCGATAGATCCAATGTGGATCCATGATTCGGGTGTTCATTTTCGGGAGTTGAGGTGATCGGATACGATGCAGATTGTAGTTCGATCTTTTCTTGAGCCAATGAGATATTGACCGTCGGCGGAGATTCGAGGTAACTGGTGTGTAAATTAGTAGCGGCAGCACCAGCGCCTAATGCGACGTCCCTTTCAAGGTGATGTTCAACTTGTGATGGTTCTTCCAAGACTTCCTTCTCCATGTATGGTTCCGGGTCGACTTGCTGAAGGTCTCCATGTGACGCCGCGGCATTCTCAATAGATTGCTCAGCATGACTTCGAGGCGGTTCGGATGTGTTAACATCTGGCTGACGTATGCTTTCCATACTCTTTTCCCAAGAGAAACGTGTGGGTAAAGGAGGACGTGTTTGTTGCAGTGATATTCTATAAGAGCTAAGGGGTCGGATTTCCGGCATGTCTGCTGGTATGATTTGCTCTGTCTGCGCTTTAAGTGGAGAAGATGCCGTCGCTATTGGTGACGATTGTTCTTCATCAACTGTATCGTTCCAGTAATCATCGTACACACCTGTTAAGTACGAGCTTTCACGCGGTTGATCAATATTATAGGAATCTGGTCTGTCATGCAGATTCTCGTGGGCTTGCTCTGATTCTGCAGGTAGGGGCGACAAACTTCTGTATATCTCTTTGCGGAGTTTGTCGCTTTCTTCATCCAAAGGTTTAGGGTCAGTGCTCCAAGTTGGTAGAACTTGGGGCCGCGAAGGTGGAAGAAGACGTTCATCAGCGATAGTTTCGTTTTCTATACTCTGCTGCAAGGCTACAGTATGTTTTGGTGGATTGTCCGAAACGACTTCATCACTCGGTACCCGCATGTTCTTCATAGGTGGGGTAGGTGTAGGTTCTGTTGGAATGGATTCCGGTGTAGCATCAGGACGCAATTGAGCTTCAGGCAAAGTTCTCTCATTACTTGGAACTAGGTCCGGATGGGAAGTCATGGCAGAATACACATTCCCATTGGAATCCGTTGTGGGCATGGAGTCTGATTTCACATCAAGAGCTTCTAACGACGAATCCGGAAGAGGATGCTTGGTGGTCGTAGGTGTCAAATCGTCTGCCGCTGAATCTTGGACCGGATCGTCTGCCGTCTGCGGACTCTGTGACCGAACAATCTCTGGCTGAACAGTATTTGTATTTACGGTCGTCGCATATGATTGCCACCCACCAGGTATCTGAGGGCGAAAACTGACGTCACGGTCAAAGGCCGGACGTGCAGGTTCAAGACTAGCGTTCTGGCTCTCATCCCCAATAAGGGAAGCAGCAGGTGCAGAAGAAATCCAGGCTTGTTCTCCCATTGATATTCGTTTAGATGCGGTACCGAGATCGGGAGTTCTAGCGGGACTGTTACCTGGACTTGGGGTACTAATATCACGTCGATGACCTGGAACAAAAGCGGGAGGGAGTATCTCCTCATAATCCTCGTGTGTAACATCTTGAGGATTCGAAGAGGTGGGTTCAACTAACTCCATGATAGCAGGAGTTGTCATTTCACGATTCCGATTATCCGTAATTGCATTGCTAGGACCACGGCTTATGATAGGACTGATTCCAGTGGTCCCGGTACTTTCGCTATCAGATCTCCTTACCTCACTGCCAGTTTTGGAAGCTGGGGTTGGAGGGAGTGAATTATCACTTGTTCTGTCGAATGCTTGACTGACAACAGACCTAAATCCAAAAGATGGCTGACTTCGAAGAGAAGTATCACCTGGCTGTCTGAAATCTTCTGGGCTCGTTTGCTCCGATTGTTCCGTAAAAGTTTCGGCGGAAGGGCCATGTCCCCTGTCAGGCTTTGATTGGGGAAAGAAGTCGGTTCCAAAGCCGGAACTTCGATGCAAATCTTGGAGTGTTGGGCTCGTAGCTTTAGAGCCCGCCGGGGGATTTGATATCTCTAGGCCTGGCGAGGGAATTTCATTAGCATTAAATCCTTCGAAGCCATATTCACTCTTTCGTTCCTTGACGGGTTCTAGGATTGGCATTAAACGTCTTCCGGAATCAGAGCCTTCATCGCCAAAGCTATATCGTGCTCGGTTTCCAGGTCCTAAACTATCAGAACTCGACCTTTCGCGGCTGACTCCTTGGCCTGGGGGATGTGATCTGTCACTCGACCTTTCCATCCTAATAGATTCCATACTAGGTCTGGCCGAATCCAAGGACAAACGCTCCTTTTCTTGCTTCTCCTCTTCAACTCGACGATAGATATCCGCGGGTCTGATAAACGGTAAAGGTTTAATATTTGACGCACCTGGGTTTAATTGCGACCGAGCTGCTGAACCAGGGGAAGGTGGGCGTCGGGAACTTGTGGGGAACGGTGTAGCCAAAGTATCCTGTGACCTTTGGTGAATCCGCTGGGCCTCTGCCCCCATAGTACTCAAGCTGCTCTTTCGCACAGGAAATTTGGTAGTTGGGGCTTCATTAGTTGCACTTTGAGGACCAGACGATGCCCGCATAGTCAATGGAGCCGGTACTGCGGACGGCGAGAAATCTCTTGAAGTTTCGTAATCGCTCAGTGTATTGACTGAACCAGCTGACAGGATCGACGAATTGTTTGTGTTGGTGCGAATTGGCAGGGGCTTGGGCTCATTTTGATATGAAGCTTCGGGTGGTGCGGGATCGACACACATCACAGGTTTTCGCGATCCAGTCGGAGAAGACTGCTGCGTAGATATGTGTAGAGATGGTGGACCGCTTGGATCGCGAGTGTGCCGTATACCTCCAACGCCCATTTGAGAAAATCGTGTTGCAGGTACAATTGAGGAATCGGCAGAGTTCGGCGGGGAGGTGGCGGGTGGTACTGGTTCTTGCCGAATGGTCGAATTAGAGAAGTGCCTCGTCTCATCGTTCGCTTCAAAAGAGTTTCTTCTATTCAATGCGCCGCCCGCAGAAGCTGATGGGAGATGGCCATAACTCTTCTGACCTCGATCCTGGGACATTTCTCTCGCACTATGAAGTCCCTGGCCTTGTTGGCGTAGACCTGTAGGTTTTGATACCGGTGCGGGTGCCGGCTCGGGCTCGGGCTCGTTTCCATATACATCATAAGGATCATATTCATCATCGTCTCCCCAGTCGTCACCTCCATAATCTATCTTCTTTGCCTCAGTCCATTTTTTCGTCTTCTGTCGATTTACGTTGGCTCGATAAGATATGGGAGTATTTGGACCTGCAGACATCGGAGTCCTAGATATGTCATTTAGTAATGTGATCTGCTGTCAGTGGGAATTGTGAAGTTGTCAAAGGAGCTCACATTAACGACCCATTCTTGTCCGAAGTGGTATTATATGGCCTTGCCATGATGCGACAACCAATATTAATTTCTCGCGATCCACGAGAGAATCATTATTTTGACCATAAATATGATAGAAAGGCGTAGAATTATTAACACGGAATGAAATGTGGAAATACAAGATGAGCTTGTTTGTAAGAGTACGAGTAGGACGGTGGGAGTTAGAGTTATGAGTTACGAGTTATACCGGTAGTATCGGGAAATCTTCAGACGAAATGCTGTGGCTGTGGCTGTGTGATTTACCCAGTTTCTTGGAAGGAATGGGGTAAGGGGGTTCGTCGGTCTTTGAGTTATTGAAAAAGCAGAAACATATAATGAAAGGATGAAAGGATAAGATGAGTTTATTAAAAGTTTATATCAGCTAAATGTGATGATGTATCTAGGTAAGGAAGGCTGCATTTGACCTTGAGCTTTCTTGTACACAACGAACATCCCTTTCCATTTGATGATTATTCTGGTATTCTGCTACTCGAGAAACTATTCGTATACTCTACCCTCTACCTACTCACTACCGCTACTAACTCACTACCGCTACTAACTCCATACTACGTACTCTATCTATTATTACCCATGAATTCCTCATTACCCACAGACAATCCATCGTTGATATTAAGACTCAGCCACAACGTTTAAAGAACTTTCTCCACTTGTGACGAATTATATGAAGGGGCTTCTTCATACCGCTTAAAATAAACCAATGGGGACATAAAGCATGGCCAAACATTCTTTTGGCCTTATCGCCTTCCAAGGCTGGAATAGCGCAGGGGCAACTTGCTTGTCATTCCAAGCCATCTTCAGGCTGGGGTTGACTGGTTTCAGGCTTAGGGTAAGAACAACCAATATCCCGAAACAACCAGCTGTCCTTGTCCTTGTACTATTAATCCGTAATTTACCATCATCAACTTTATCAACACATTTTCCATTTTGACCTTTTATTTTGAATAAACCTCTAATAAAGAAAACCACATAATTCAAGATTTCTCTAACACTCCTTCAAACAAAACTATACCATTGTCCTCCACGCCCGATATTCAACAAACCACCCTGTATAAAACAATAGAATAATTCAGTTGCGCCTCGAGGTCGTCTACCCAGCAATTCAAGCCACCGACAATAATCAAAGGAAATTAAACTCCCAATCAACCTCGAAACCCACGAACAAAGAGAATTCATTCTTCATAGACCATTGCGAAAACAAGAGACATTATATCCACATAACCGCCGCGATGGCCGTCGCATCGATACAAGACAGAACAAACGAGTTCCGATCCGTCCTCATACAAGTACAAAAGAGACAAGCATCATCAAAAGTGGGAGCCCAGAGGCAATCACTTCTTTCCGATTCACAAAAGGCCGCAGCAAATGGAGATGCGAATACACATGGCAAACCCAGGAGATCGGAGTTTGCAAGGAGGGCGGCGGAGATTGGGAGAGGTATAACGGGGACGATGGAGAAATTACAGAAGTTGGCGGAATGTAAGATGAGATTCCCAGAATACAAGAGGATGGGTACGGTATGGGATATGAAATATTAATATATAAACAGTGGCCAAACGAAAAACCCTCTTCGATGACCGACCCGTTGAAATCAACGAACTCACATTCATAATAAAACAAGATCTCTCCTCCCTCAACCAACAAATCTCCAGACTCCAAAATCTCACGCGCGCCCAACATCCCAAAGCCGATCAAGAGGGCGAACACAACAAAAATGTCGTCTTCATGCTACAAGGAAAACTCACAGACGTATCCGTTAACTTCAAAGATGTGCTTGAAGTCCGCACTAAGAATATTCAAGCCTCGCGATCCCGGACGGAGAATTTCGTTTCATCTGTTTCTTCCCATGTTCAACCTAATATTTCGCAATCGGCAAGTCCGCTGTATAGTACACCAACGAGAGGCAGTCCGGGTCCGGGTCAGGATTTACTCAGTTTAAATCCGGTTGGAGATCAACAGTTGTTGATGATGGAGGAGGCGCAACCACAGAATGAATATATTCACCAGCGGGGAGAAGCTATAGAAGCCATTGAGAGGACGATTAGTGAACTGGGAGGCATTTTCGGACAGTTGGCTACTATGGTTTCGGAACAGAGTGAGATGATTCAAAGAATCGATGCCAATACAGAGGATGTAGTAGATAATGTTCAGGGGGCTCAAAGAGAGTTACTGAAATATTGGTCGAGGGTATCTGGTAATCGCTGGTTGGTTGCTAAGATGTTTGGTGTTCTTATGATTTTCTTTTTGTGAGTTTCCCTCTCTCCATTTTCTCTATATTGAGATATACACAAAGAATTGCGCTAACAAATGAAACATAGACTTTGGGTTCTAATAGCGGCTTAGAATCGATCGATATACATGACCTGACGCTGACGCAATGGATACATGAGGATGGAGCAATTGTATTGTTATTGATACTTGTAGATGATATATACCTTTTAATGAAAACGTCACAAAGTGGCGTAACTCTTCAAGCAAAGAAAGTACCTACCTAGTACTTGCAGTAGTGTTTTCGGTGTGTCTATGTCCAAGTCTAGACCAAATTTCCAAAGTTCCTCACTTGCTCTATGCATCCACTTCTTTGCAGAGATTTGGGATGTGTGTAGGTATGTATACTGAGTAGATAGATAGGTATGTAAAAGCTAAGATATCCAGAGTTAAACTCAATTCATGACTTGAAATCATCGACTTCAAGGTAAAAGAGTCGTTTAACTGAACCTGCCTGGAATTGTAAAAAAAGACTCTCCGATTTTCCCCCAAGCCTTCATTAATAAAGTCCCCCACATCCCACATCCACCCACTCCGTTCACGCACCCCCACTCCACTCCAACCAACTCCATCAAAAACTCCAAAAATGAATGATTATCTCAAGTGAACTCAAGATCGCAGAATGCGGCTTCTGTGGATCGAACACAGTGCCTCCAGATAAACCATGATGATATCGAACTTTTTACATTCGGTAATTTTTGATTAGGAACAGAAGTGGACTTCAGTCTGGCGCTCTCCCAAGTGAGCTAAAGCCGCTTGGGTGTTTGTGTTGTTTGGTGAGGGTTTAGGGGAGTTTGTGGGTTAGGTTGTAGGGGTTAGTGGGGTGGGTGGTTAGGGTTGACAATGACAATGTTAGTGTGAGGTTTGGGGAATTAGATCAGAGTGATTTAATTGCACTGTGGTATGACCATCTTACTAGATGATGACATCACTCGTGATTAATTCTTGAGAGAGAGAGGGTGTGCTTCGTATATATTACTCTACGTATAATTATGATGATGAGTATTTATTCATCCCCCATAAAGTATTCCCCTAGATTGTTCTCCTTTCATTGAAATGGGTATTTGAGGATGCAATTGTACAGTAATGAACCCAGATTATATTTATGGGAAGCTGTCTTTACTGATTTCTATGCCAGTTCTTAGGAGTCGTGATGCTGCGCAGGATTGTGGACTAGGGGGTGAGAAGGGGGAAAGTCATTCAGCCGATTTGAAACTTTAAAGGTTTTTTGATATTTCTAATATGCTTCGGGTATTTGATCCCCTTTTCGACTGGCTTTTGAGATTGGATTGTAGTGTTTTATCCTTAATCTTGCTTAAGCAGATAGATTATTTGTTCGATAATTATGTCGAATACCGGTATTGGACCCCTCTAATATATATCTTGGATGATACTGGCAGTATATTTTCCTTTCTGTCTTGGCAAGCCATATGTTTCGCTTGTATAGATGTATGCTTGGGAACTGTACATCGGGATTTAGTTCTCTCTCATGTGAATGGATGAGTAGATGGTCACTACTCATGCCAGTGGCACGATATTCCAAGCTGGGTTTCGATTCGGTCTCTGAACTATATTACCGTCTTCTTTCGCCCGGTTAGATATTTCTGGACGTTGGATGCAGGTTTGTATATTACAGCAATTGTTCCTGTCATATGGATAATTTCTGCGCTGATATTTGGCATTGTAAAGAGGGAGAGAAAAGAAAGGAAGGCCTGAGAGGGTTGTGGAATAGCTACCGGTATTACTATTGCGCTTCAATTAGGAACTTTGTCTTTGGTTATTGATTCATCAATTGCGGTGATTTACAGTAGGTAGGGATGGACTAGGAGGACGCGCAACTAAGATGAGCATAGAGACAAGTTGAAACTCGGAAATGCATGAAGATGTGAGTGAGAATTCGGAGAAGCCCAGGGGTGGTATTGTCTGGCTTTGACGGCCTTCTTGGTCGGTTCAATATTTCGTCGAAGATTAAATATTAGTGAAACTCAAAATGCTGAGACTGTGTATCTCAAAGCTGTGCGGAATGAGATTATCTACCACATTTTGCTTTAAATAGATGTCGATCTGGAGTATGATGTCGATCTGGAGTATCTTTTGGCTTCTAGAAGATTGTATTGAGCTCACGAAGACAACACAATTCATCATCACTCGAGACCATTTAGCAAAATCACATTACATGCAGAGAAAATAACCCGAGATGAACTGTTTCTGAAAACTGATTGTAAACTTCTAAATACGTTGATGTTACAATCCACTAGAGAAAATAACTAACTGGCAACGAAGTAATAGAATCACAGATACAAACTTCGTCCTGTTGAATCATATCAATCTTTGTCTATAAACCACCAATAACATAATTTTTCCATCAAGATCCTCCTCCCGTATTTTGTTTCGAAAGATAGGAGGTTGAAAACAGGAATGAAAACCATTAACAACTTCGATATCCCAGAAAGCAGTGCCAAATATCTCCCGAAAAACACATGATCAAAGACTGACCAATTTCATCTATTTAGCATAGCTCGTCGTCATGTTCTATGTCCAGCGGAGCCGTCTGTGTATCTATATCATACAGTATTTTCACAGTAGGTCTCCTCGATCGCATAAATCTCGCCGTCTCACATTGTTCCTCCTCGGATAAGTTGTGCCAAAGATATGTGGTAACACCGTTGAGTCGTGGACATTTATAGAACCGTCCGGCTAATGGATTGTTGTACGTTTTCAATGGGGTCATACCCGGTACTGAGGGTAGATGCGTGTATTTGCCGGCGCGAGTACCGGTATTGAGATTAATCTGCATTATACTTAGCATATGTGAAAAGATTGAAAGATTTACGCTTCATCAGGAGAGTGTAAAACAGTTCAACTAGAACCTTGGTATCGAAGTACTTGTACCCGGGAAACGCATTCTAGTATTTTAATACATAATGGAGCTCCAATTTTTGACCAAATCCAAGATCTTCATAGGAAGGCTCGTGAGATGGGGACTGGGCTCTGAGATATTGTCAATTCGCCTTCATCAACCACTTCGTGTGATAGTGTAGATTCTAACCTCGAAAATCTTTCATTAAATCCATGGCTCTTGGCCTCAATGCCTTTGTCCTTTTCATTCTAGTTTTCAATGCTCTTGGTCTCCATGTATTCTGCTATGTTGTCGATGTGTATTGGGAGTATATGCGTGCTACAAACCGATGATCGGTTGTTAAGTGTGCTTAGAAGTACAAGTGCAGATGTTAATGGTCGATTAATGTCCCAAAGAATTGATATCAGATCTAGTTTCGGAAATATCTGGTGTAGGTCAAAGAATTGTTCATTTAGACGGGATCTACTTTGGTTTATGAAAGTCATAACCAAGGTCGCAGTCGATCGTAAAACCCTATTTAAGCGAGAGGTGTAGCGAGTAGTAATAACCTTACATCATCTGTTGAATCAAATTACCAGCGGAGAAAGTGTAATTTTTCCGTATGTTTTGAAGTAGCTAGTGTAGTGTATCTTGCAGGTGGAGTTTGATGTTTTTGATTCCCAATTATATCTTGATACACCGAATGGCAGGTTTACTTCGGCACAGACGGCACGGGAAAGCGATATCCTCTACAAGCTCTTACTTCGAAGTCATAAATTTCGACACATTACGCATGCGATTTTATCCTTAAGGCCAAATCCAAAAGGATGGAGACCTGTGGAGAGTCATATGGAAGAGATGTCTGGCAGCGATACACATTATGATGAAGAAACAACGGAAATCATTGGCCAGATTACGAATCATCTGCCCGAATGTCTCGAAGTTCCTTTGGCACTGACTTCTCGACGCTCTTTTTCTCTAGATCTCTCTCACAGAAAAGTTGCTCAAGTTCACATGAACGAATCTCTATGTGATTAATCGTCACTTTGGCCAGATCGTCATCTTACCGACTGTCGTCAGCCTCTCTGGTGCCCTTTGGAGAAGTGAGGTAGTCTTCATACATAATTTTTATGGACGACATTCTACCAGCTACGTGGAGCTCACGCGAGTTATTACGGGCAGAAGCTTCACAAATTACACCTCGAAGATGACCCATTAACGATGCCGGAAGCCTTGGTCAATGAAAACTAGAGATAGAATCAGGCATCAGGAGGCGACCCGTGAAGTTCGTTGTCTTCTGTTCTCCGTGGAACTATTCATCAATTGTTCTTTGTAACGAACCTATCGGGCCACAAAAAGTCTCACGCGACGAAGATATAATTCCGCGTGCCATTTCAAGCGCGAGAAGAATCAAAACTGATTTAAATCGACAGGCACAACACTGCTGGGGAAAGGAGATTGATGCTGGCTTATTCTGAGTGGAAGGAGATGACATGATTCTAACCAAAGACGATTTCAATTATCGTACCTGGGTAAAGATTTGCGGCGGGTTTGACATGGCAGGTGCAATGTTGTACGATCATTTGACCTGGTGATAGCTAGCTGGACAGGAAATCTTTGAGAGAATCATGATATATGCCAAACACAAACTTATTTTTTTGTCGGTGAGTCACGATGCAAACAGTTGATGAAGCAAGCATCTGGAAGCATGAAGTATAAAATGCCTTCCGAACATTTATCTCATTTTCTCTTTTAATCCCCAATTCAGAATGCAACTAATTATGTCTTGTGTGTCTCGTGTGTAATTCTAAGCCTTTAAGTGGCACAAAGTTCGTGTATCATATAAATGATTATCTGCAGATTCAATGGAAACCAGAATTGCAGGAAATTCATTTCAATTTTCTTCATTCTCCTCTGTTTTTCTTTAACTATCGTACATTGTATAGAATTCCCATTTCTTCAACATAGCCTGTAATCTAAGAAATTTAAAGACTATGAGTAGTTGTGGCGCGCTAGTACTAAGGTTGCTGATGGATCTTGCCAAGGGATGGCCAGTAAGAGTTTACTTGCTTGCATAGTACAGCAAGCTCTAGTACCAGTACTCAACGACTTAAAGGGCCTAGTTACTATATTGGGCCGTACCGCGGTGATCGACTTTTAGTATAAAGTTGACCCATCTGTAGCTCTTCCAAAAAAAATATCTGCCATCCTCCAAATATCTACACTGCGAAAAGTTTCTTCACACTTAACATTCTAAGTAAGAAAAAATACAACATACTTCTCAATACCTCAATACAACCTCCATTCCATTTTCAAATTTTACAAAAATGCCTACACTCGAAGTAAAGGATAACTTGGCGTCAGTCATGCCTCTTGACCCAATCAAGAATCAAAGTCATACCAGACCAAGATCCGAGACCAACAGTAAGATAATTCTCTCCTATGCTATACCAGCTTCAATTGAGTAATATTAACATCTTTCTAGTGAGTCTTACCTGCACAAAACAGATCCCAGCTCGTATTACCAAGAATATGATTAACATTTTACCTCCCGAGCTCGTCGCCAATATCATTCAGTTCCTTGGCCCGATATTTGGAGCTGTATTTGGTCTTACCTACCATCAAGTCTATGATGAATTCAAGCGTCAGTATCCAGCCACGATTCCTCTGTCTCTAGAGACCTACCTTTGGAATCCGGACTCACAGCTGGATCTGCAACATCCAAGATTTCATCCATCAGCTCAACTTCACCAATTGCTTGGGACATGGATGGGGAGTGGCGATAGCACGAAGTATTTCTACTTTCGAGATGAAAGTCTCAAATATTTCAAGTCTTGGAAGTCATCGGTAGCTACATCGGGCCAAGGTGGTCAGTTCCTGCTTCAAAGCATTTACGGCGAGGGAGTCAGCGGGTCCGACCATGCTATAAAGCAGTTACTAGTCGCATGGTGTGCGTATGGTTCAATCGAGGAGGGATGGCCATGGGTCTATACAGACGAAGAGATTCCCGCCGACGAAATTCAACAGTATCCTTCGCCATTCAATATGAGTGGGCAAGGATGGCTTGATAACATGCAAGAGATCCTTACTCTGCATCATCCCGATCTTGAATCGCCATTCAGAGCTCTCGCTGAAGAAGGAATCGGATGGGGTAATGGCGAATATGGAAAAAGATGGTCCGCGGTTGAGGCGAGAAAGAAGCAGTTGGACGAGCACGTACGGAAATAGGAGGTTCAAAAATCTTGACAGAGTGATAGTAAGAGGCGCTTTCCCCAGATCGCGAGGCAGGAATACTTGTACTGAGAGTCGTATCAAAGGATTAGTAAAGTATGGTACAAGAGAATAACGCGAAGAATTCACAGAAATCAGCATAATAAAATCAGGCATCAGATTATACTTTAGTACCTTTCTATTTACCTGCTCAATTATGCAAATGTTAGTTAATAACAGTCTTCCTTGATTACATTGTCAAATCAAACTGCATTCTATCTCCCATCATCTAACAACATCATTGAGTTCATTAGTAGCTCAAAAATGGCTGTTTATACTCGAGCACTACAGGTGAAGCTTTAGGGGTTATCCACTCAATGTGCCAAGTTATAATCATTCTGTATACAATTAGCAGATGTTTATTTGGCTGAAAATTGAGTTTTTATGTTGCGATACTTACTAACATAGCATATAAATATGCGTAGTTAACCTGCATATGAAGTATTGTTTTCTCAAGATGACCGGTTATCTAAGGCTTTCGAAGTATTATCATCCCTATATATATATCAATCTTTCATCACACTTATACGAGGAACGGTACTCAAATTTGGCTTATCATGGCCAGGCTTCTCGTCAAAAACACTGGCAGTGAAGTTGTTCAACCAAGTAAACAGTTACTGTTGAATAACAAATGACTGATACCTCCCAAACTATCAGGGATTTGAAAGGATATGACTCCCAGTTCCTATGAACTATGGCCATGGTCACAGACATAACAACAAATCACACCAAATAAGCAACTTTCAAAGAATCCAGTGAAAATAATGTAATTCAGTGAATTCAAGTCTTAATTACCTACTATCAACCGAGAGCCGCTAATTTCCAGTAGGACATAAATCTCGCTTATTTTCGTCTAGCTTTGTACATTTTAGTGTTCCTCTGATAGACCTGACCATCCGACCTTCGGCTTCTTGTTGAATTCAAACTATCTTGCTAGATCTTGACCTTTGGTTCAAATCCTAAACACCATTTTCATACAATAGAAGTTTTGCTTTGAAGCTTTGACATCACCATGTGGTAAGTTTCCTTCTTTAAACAAATCAAATGCCAAAGACTTTTTACTGATATAAATAAAATCTTTAGGAGGCCCTGTGAATGCAAGAATTACTTGATTGACAGAAGAGTATCAGATAGAGATGCCGCTCTAGCTGAGCTCTTGAACAAGCGAATTACTCCAAGAGGGAGCATACTTGAACCAGGAATGAGTGCTGGGGGCCTTACATTGGGTGGACAATGTATCATGTTGGACCCATTGAGTAAGTGACATATCCACAGTTAGACTTTGTGACAAGAAATATCCGGGCTAACCTATGTATTCCAACTCTACAGCCCTCAGTCTCCGAAAAAAATGCATTGAGAGCTTAACCACGGAGCTAGTGATGGATCTCATATTACATTGGCTCGACCCAGCCTCCGCCCTAATTCTCGCCCTGACAATCCCTCGAATCTATCACGTCTACAAGGGCCTTTTTCCTCAACCTGTTAACCTCAACAGGGTCATAACAGCCCTTCTACCCCACTTAAGTGGGACGCTACCCTGTAAACGACGAGAGAACCTCTATGGTAATTATGGCACCTTGAACCCATTGAGGTTCAATTTGTGGTACCCTACCTCTCACTACATTTACTATCATCGCCTCAACATCACAACCGAACCAGAAACACTCGGTAGATACGAGAACTTCGGTCGCTTCCTCTCCCGTGAGGTCTATGGTCCTACCAACTTTCACGGACCTGAGAACAAGAGAGCTTTAAAGAAATTGAGGCAAAGATATCTACGACACGGGGTATATAATGCCGTATTTCTTCGCTTGACTGGTGTACCCTTGGAGCATCCCCATAACCTGGGGGAGAATAGATGGAATGTTGCAGTTATGGAGATGCTGGAGGGTGTAGTTACCACAATTAATAGGCCAGCCTCGTTGCTTGGGGTCATGAGGCATGGACAGCGCTGTTTTCCTTGGCCTGCGAGATTGAAGCTTTTGATTGCGGATAACGTGTTGGTTGCTTTTGAGGAGTGGATTGAGATGATGGATTTCTAACTGATGGAGGAGAGCTGTAAAGAATCAATTCCCTTTCGAAACAATTGACTGCTGCCCTCTGATAGCGCTGAAGCTTGAATGAAGACACTTCAAAGCCACCGTATGACTGGCACGCAACTATCTTTACCAATGGCGCCAAATATTAGCAGCCACTCCTTTCGATGGAGAAGTCACATGTCATTTACTCGACACTGAAGAGGAATTTGAATCCACGAATCCTCTGAATATGCTGCAAGATATTAGGTCTGGGTGTCGGCAACGATGGTCTAAATTCCGATCCCTAAAATCTGTTGCCAAGCGCTTCAATCGATTTTGTGATTGTAGATGGACCTGGCAAAGTAATCAGGCTGATGGATCAGGTTAGACTTCAAAAATCCACGAGAGCAGACTCACAATTGAGAATTACAGAGCGGTTGTTGTTCCTGAGTTTACAGGTGCAATCTATGGATTCACATCTACTACTGGACTTACAGCCAGATTCACTACAGCTCATTATCGCAACCGTCTTCTCAGCTTTAGAAGAAAGAAAATGATATTTTGAAAATGAATTACAAAAGATTATAGAGATTCGTTTAACGCTGACAGATCTGAGGTACTTGCGACACTTCAACTTTAGATCTGAAAGCATACAATTACTACTATAATCATGAACGAGACGAACAATATATGGAAAAAGTACTGAATCAACCATATAAAGAAGTACTATTATATGATGGTTTCGAGTCCCTATGATATCATGTACGACCTAGAAGCTTTCAATAACCGTTGTAGCAATGAAACAAACGAAGGTTAACTTGAAAAATGCGAAGCGCTTCTAGTACAAATAAGTAATCCCCTCCAATATCTTTAAGTGTAGACTATTTTTATTCTCAACTTCAAAACCTATAAGAGCTTCTCGACTCACCCACTGCAATAAATGAGAAAGAAAGCGCAATTCTTTGGATATACTGCAACGGATAAAGTACTGTTATCCGATAGCTTAATTATTCTCAAGAGATGTCCTCAGCTAGAGAATCTGCAAGGCTTACTATATTTACCGGGCAGTTGTGCCGTAAATCAGTGATACATAGAATTATTTAAATTATCTACTATCCCCTCACGACTATCTTCTCACGTCTATCGGCAGATATCTACTTTTTGACTGCAATGAATGATGCCAGAATCCTCCTACCTGTGACGGAACAGACGGCTCTCTTCCGCCCACTGGCTCTTTTGGACCTTCGTTTCACAGCTTAGAGCTCTAGCTCTACAGCTCTAGACCTAGGCATCGTACGATGCTTATCTCTAGGACTCTTTCACTCTTTTGGGCCTAGCCCTTATGGCTCCCAATACCTGTATATATAGTCCTCCTTTTAGCACCCTACATAGCTCTTCACTTGTAGATTCTAAGTACACAATCGGAGTCCTGTTTATACCCTTTTGGTCACACTACCGAAAGGTTACAAACTCTTTTCTTGCGACATTGTCCATCTCTATTATTCATATTTCCACAATCTCAACATGCTGAGATCAGAGCTAGTTATATACAGTAGAACCTTATTCGCGGCGTTGTTGACCATATAGTGAATTTAGAGTGCATAGTACCGTGACAATTGAACGAAAAGAACTGAAATTTCCACTTGAGCTAATATACAGTATGCACTCAGGGTATTCTTCGACACACTAGAAAGTTTTGTTTTTCTTGCATTTCGATGTTATGTATGGATTTATAATCAACCAAAACTATAATCATTTCCCTCAATCTCACAATGTTAAGTTAGTGTAGACCAGAAGAACAGCGATTATTAGTAGCTCACGTCTCAAGATGTAGAGATATGAACGCAATTAACGCAGAAATTGAATAGTGACATAATTCTAATTCTAGAACTGAAATCTTGGAAATGTGGTCTAGGTAAGAGAGTATACTCACATTTCTGAGCTGTTTCTACAAATATTCTTCAAACCTGGATATACACAGTTTACTGTGGGTGGAACTGTGAAAAACATGAGACAATTAAGCGAATGAATACCTACATCTTACTCGCAGATCGAAGGAGTCTAGCATTAGTTAGATAAGTTTCAACTCCATTACTTAATCTGTCAGAGGGCTACAATGTTAAATAATTTACTTAATAACTAATTCGTCTAGCTTATGGGTCATTGGAAATCACTTAATTCTAAGTGACTGAGAATGTTCGGATATAGGAAGCTCCTAGGGTGAAGTTAATAATTTTCCGACTTTGCAAGTCGGTTGTCATTTGGTATAAGAAAACAGGTAGAATCTGCTGAACTGATTCTACGCGAAGCCACTGCAATGATCCTCAACGTCCCATATGTTCTGACTAGCTCTATATCAGAGTTAATGATACTAAATGTATAAGTACTAGTGACGAAGGTCAAAGACGCAATGGATAGTTATCTTGCCTCGTTACACATATTAAACTCGGGAGATAATAATGGCCTGATTATAGTACACCTGACCAGAAACCTACGTTCTAAATATCCGATTTCAAAGTCCGCACTTGTCCTAAAATTCCATCTAAATCATGTACATTTTGCCTGAGTCACTGCAGTCATTTCGAATATGGTACGGTTCTTATGAAGGTACGGTAATGAATTAAGGCTGAGCTGGAAAGGGTAGTTCAAAAATGATGTACAGCGTACGGATCTGCCGTACGAAACTATACTTAAAGGCTCGACCTTCTCATCAGTTTTCTCCCTCCATCATCTAATTCGATGACATCTACATACTCAAAATACTGTTTCTGGCTCTCCTTGCCAGAGTACAATTGTCTTCCGCCACTTTCGCAGTCACGCAACAATATCAACACTATACTCGCATAACACCTTCATACTTTTGATACCCGATGGCGATGGTGATGGGTGCTCAAGAATCAGATATTCAAAACTTAGACCACCAAGAGGAAAATGGCAAGGACACCGTTATTCGTGCGCTTGTACCTGAAGCTTCGATCAAAGGCGGTATGTAGAAAAATACAAGATCTTCGGTTGACACTAGCTAATAGAAGCCACCAGCTTCATCACTCGAGAGACTACCCACGGAGGCTCTCATCAAAATAATAAAATACCTCCCTATCTCCGAGGTATCCATCGCGTTTACATGCCCCCGCATGTATCAAATCTTCAAAGACATACATCCACGCCCAATCAGTCTATGCAACATCGACGTTGTCAAGCGCATAGATCATCTCGATCCATACGAGTCTGCAAACGTGCATTTGCTACTTCAAAAGTACTCGCCGATTCTGAGGGTATACAAGCCAAAAGATTACATCTACACCGTCATATCAAACCTGTATGTACCTGCACCATGCAAAGATGGAGATGAACTTCACTATCGATCGCAACCGTATGGAAGATTTCTGCGCCGTCCATATTACGAGGCTTTTTGAAATCGTAAAGATCTGGAAGAAAGATACCGTACTTATGAAATGTACGTTACGCGCTGGTCCGAGTATATGCCAAAGGATTTCAAATTTCCCTACCCGCACAACAAAGGACGGGTGGCGTATAAGCTGGAGATGAAGCTGGCGGTTGATGAGTTGCTTGATTCGATGGATGTTACGACTGGTCATGAATACATGAGACGATTCTTTTTCCTAGAGAAATTCCTAGGGGTTGGATCGCAGGCAGAGGTTAATGAACTCATCAGGGTGAATTTAACCTGGAAACGTTATGGCGAGTGGAGGGATATGATGGGGTTCTGATTTGAGGCAGTGAAGAAATTTGGGGAAACTCAATACTCGGAACGTGTGTTCTGGTGTTTTTAACATTATTTACATTTTTGGGGCAAAAATTCTTCGGAGAATTTCGAGGATGTCAAAGGACGTTAAAATAGGATATATTACATAACACCGTCGACGATTCCATGTGATATCTTAATGCAAAACGCTTGCAGAGCGCGTGAAAATGATCAATAATGCTAAACAATTGTGACATTCGAAAAGTGTACTTGATGGGCGTAACGACTATTTAGGCCGTCTTAGAGGGTGTGCTTCCGTATTGAGCACGTATTCATCCAAGCTGATCAGATCCGGATCAGCAAAGATAAGGTAGAAATATTTAAGAGTTTCAGCCATCCAGAAAGACTCCATTCTATCAGCCTTAGGGGGGTTTTCTGAGACGGTGCAATCGTCGAGAGCAGCATGCGCAATATCGGTGATTGTATGCTTGATAATATTATTGAACATGGTCCAAGCCCGTTCTCTCAATTTGGGGTCACCAGTGATGCGATATAATATAAAAACAGACTCGATTGCCTCAGGTCTATTGAAAGTTAGATACGTCGCTGAAGTGAGAATATACGGAAGACTTGCCTAAGAATATAGCGACCGTCGTCAAACTTGGTAACTCCGGGTATGAGTCGGTGCTGTTGTATCTTTTGTTGTACAGTTTCGTTGCCTTCAGTGTCTTTGTCAATGCCCTGGAGCCACTTTTGTTCGTCCCAGGGACAGTGGGTTTCGTTCTCGCATGGAACGGTGTGCATCTTCTCAGGCATAATTCCAAGTGGCATGTTTTCATAAGCCCAGAGACATCCTTCAGTTAGCTTCCTTGCCAATTCCAAGTCTTTTTCGTTCTCGAATATCTTGGCACCGATGGCAACCATCCCTCCTGCAAAACATCCCAGATGCTGTGCTTCACCCTGAGTTTCTAGTTCGGTAACCGGTGTCTTACCATCACTATCTACATTACCTGGCAAGCGAACATCCTCACCATTCTTGGTCATCGGCCGGTAGAATATATTGCGTTTCATCGCGATAATTGCAAACTCATACATTCTTCGATATTGCTGAGTAGCGCCCCCAAGTAATAAATGTTGCTTTTAGCGGTTAATATATTACTATTGCTGTCATCAAATAGAGTGAGGTCACCTTTGGTAAGTATTCATATAATGAATCGGCCATACCACCAATAGTAAATCCCCCATAGTCCGTAAACTTTTTGTCTTTCGCATTTACGACCACTGGCCACATTCCTGGCAACTTTGATGACGCTTGCTGCTCGTCAAAAACATTCATGATACGTTGCACAGCATCGTAATATCGTGGATCACCTGTAATCTGGCCAAGGCGTGTAAACTCCAGTGTTAAAGAGCCAATTTCAGACTCGAGAACATTGTCTTCAGCCTCTTGTTTGGCTCCGGTGGCAGCAACGTGATAGTACCATCGAAGGATGGGTAAGTGATTGGGTGTATCAAATGACTTGTACAGCATCTCTCCCATCTCCGTCGCTTTTTGGAGTAGAACTGGGAACTTCTCACCACTTAATTCATAAGCGGAGAGGAAGCCACCTAAGTATCGAATAGTGGTTTCGAAAACATTGATTTGGTCAAGGGCACAAGTACTGAAGTCAATCGTTTGAATCGCTTCGACGGCTACTTTGAATTCCGAATGCATGCCCATAATCCAGAGAGTATCTAGAGATGAATTTAGTAGGGAGATATAGAGTCATGATTTGTGTGCTGACCGAGAGTGTCGACCAAGCTCGCGGCCCATCCACCGAACGGATCCATTGATCCACCTGAAAGAGGCATTACCTCATCTTTCAGCCATGCATGGCTTGTATAGCCATTCCAGGCATGTGTAAAGTTGTCTTTGACAGCTTCAAGCCTACTCAGTCTCACAGCTTTTTCTGCTTGTGTTTCTTTCTCAAATTGGTGTTGGATTCTCGGTATGGTTGCGATGGGATTTGTTGGGAGAGGTATGAAATCGGTAACAGGAAAACTGTGTGGGACCTCCGACCATCGAAATTTATTTCCTTTCTCATCCGGAGTTGATTCAACAATGGGTTGAGTCCGATCATATGATTCCTGGAAGCGTTTAAGCGCCGGTCTTTGGTAAACAAGAAATAGAAGAAAAATCGCGGCAACGAGTGTCGTGGCTTTCCATCTAAATGTCATAATTGTTGGCGAGATTGTGGCTTCCGCAAAGGCAAGAAAGAGTTAAATTCGAAATCAAACAAACAAACAAACAAATGTTTGAGTATAATTAAGTAGTAATAAGTAGTTATGTATGTCAGAAAAGGAAAAGGCTCGATCTTGACACAAATGACGGGAAGAGAGTGAAAAGGTTCTGGTTAAATGACTCTGAAACCCAATTGGATGAGGCTCGAGATTTAATAGGTAGATTTTTTACGAGCTGAGTTCTCTAAATAGTCTAATTTGCAGTAGGTTATGTGCTATTTTGTTTTTGGTACCTAGTTAAAGTTGTATTCTGTAAGCGCCCTTAGACAATGTTATCCCCCCTAGATTAGATTCAACGCATCCATTGAATTCATTGGCTCACTTCTTTCAGCGGACCCGCGTTTAATTGGTAATAACAAGGGGCCGGATAAGCTAAGAAGGAAAATCGGAAGCACTGACCAGTCAAGTCGAGCTTCACGAGATTTCCAACATTTTCATATGGAATGGCGAGTTGTCATCCAGTATATCTAAGAAGCATGAGTGTAATAAGCCGCTCTCAAGTGGGACGTTTTGTCTCTTAATATGCGATTCTCTCCACTGCGTTAGTTAGCGGTGGCTATGTAGCCAACTGTTTCCAAAAACTGTTCATGGGCATGCGGCGAGTACATTATCCATTCACCTCCTCAATCCTTTGTATGCGTAGCTTTGTAACCTCTCCATGCTGCGTCTCTCATGACGGCTGCTGAACTTATCAAGACCAAGTAGACCTTCTTCTGGCAAACAAACGACAATGGAATTCAACATATTCAGCCTTGTGTTCAACATTTTCATCCTCCACACTCTTCCAGTCCTGGCCCAAACTTACGTATCTTCGACTGTATGGGTTGTACCAGATGGCAATACAGCGGATCTTTCCAAAACATATACAGAGGGTCTCACTCTTCAGGTTACTTGGAACGCGGTTCCAGAGGGATATCAGTTCCAGGGTCTATCCAATCTCTGGATTACGACTTGGGACTACTCTAACACGGTATACAGCCAGCTGCTCACAGGTAAAACCACCTTTCGGTAACAATCTCTTTATATTTTCAGGCCATATGCCTGTTTTTAACGCCCTGTTCAATTTGCTGATAAGTATCTCAAACCTATAGGAAATGTGAATACAAATGAGAGTGGTACCTACGACTGGACCATCACAATTCCAACAAGTGTTTCGAGCAAGGACGCGAAATATGTCCTTCGGTTCAAGAATCTTAGCCCTGAATATAGCAGCAGCTCTCCAGAGGTCTCGAGTACCGGGTTCTTGATTATCAATGGAGTTTCTTCTTCGTCCTCAACAACATCTTCTGCCCAAACAATTACGTCCGCTACGAGTACGAGTCTCAGTAGCTCTGTGACTACAACACCAGTAACATCGACTGCGGGTATAGTCACCACACCAACAGCATCCTCAACCTTCGCCGAAAGCAGTGGCTTGAGTGGAGGTGCAAAAGCCGGCATTGCTGTTGGTGTTGTGGGCGCTGCGCTGTTGATTGCTGGGTTGGCATTCTTAACCTTCCGACGGAGGCATCAGAAGAAGAGCTCACATGAGGAGCTTCCGACAGACCCTCCGACATACTATGAGCCTCCCACGGAATACGCCACTAGATATCCGGGTGACGTACCGATAGCTGAGACAGGCGGCCATGAGAGAGCAGAATTGCAAGGCAGCTAGGACGATACGTGAAGGGAACAGTGTCGGATGAAATAGGCTTTGTGGAAGGAGATTAATGAGATTAATGATTGAAACCCCACACTATATTCTACAAGGTCAAAAGGAAATGATTTTGGAATCGTGGTCACCTGGGATGATTGACAGGCGCCTTTTATTTGCCTGGCTGCATCGAAACTTTTGTCGGAATACTGATTATTAACAAATGCATGTACGTCTTATAATCTCATGTCAGAGACTGTTTTGCGAAACAAAAGAGAATGTTTATCATTGTTTATTCATAGAAACGATATAGATATAATAGAAAGTAATGGTGGATTCACCTATGGATATTGTAACATACAATAAATATCAGATCACTGAAATATAACCGACCAATACGGCGCACTTTATACCTTCAGACTATGGACTGGCATGATCTGCAAATCTAATTCAATACTGTATTCACTCGAATTAATAATTTGTTCATTTTACATAAGTATATTTCCAGCGTACGGCACCTAGTACGTACAAACAATCATACTGCACCCAACACAAGCCCCAGCTACGGTTCCGATCAAAAACTTTTATCGATAGTTCACTTACAAAATATATATCAACGACTTTCGAGATATTGTACATTGTCTCCACGCAAAAACTTCTACAACACAGCTCCTTTGATCGCGCCCGGCTATCCTCAATCATCCAAACATCGATTCCCGAAATCTGATAATAAATAATGGCATCCACTAAAGTAGTTTTCTCCACCTCCTACCGAAAGCAAGGTGAGTAAGAAGTCATCAATTCCACAACATGTGCGTCTGCTAATCTTCCAAGTGATACCCAGATCCACTCGCGTCTTTGGAGACTTGCCACTCGAGATAATATTGAATGTCATGAAGCTTCTTGGCTGGCAAGGCTCGGTCTGTCTCGGCTTGACTTGTCCAGAGATGTACGCGGCATACAAGAGCATTTATCCATTAAAAGTGTCGCTGTGAAGTATGGTTGATACCACACTTCCTTTTCGATTATTCCCCACGACTCCGGAGGAACTTGCTAGATTATACCTCCCCATTGAACTGCGCGTTTTGGTTCACCAATGGACTGGACTCGGAGATCGATATCATTATTTGAATGTTGAGTTCCATTGGCAAAAATTCAAGGAAGATTACACTGTCGCGGAAGGCCCAGCTATTTTCCTTTCCAATTCGTTGTGCTTGGATCAACAGGGTAGATTCATGGGTCTTGGACATAGAATTGGTAGATATGAGGACTATGCCTTTACCAAAGAACGCGAACACCCGATCATCATCCGAGAAGAAGACGAGCCCAAAATTCCTATCTGGTTGAATACTGAGAGAGACGAAGACGAAGGCCCCCCGATATATCCTTTCAAGACATGCCAGCTACCTTATCCATTTGATATGGGAACAGCCTGGGCTAGAGAAGCTAAAAGGATTATTGTTGAGAGCATCGAGTTGGCCCCAAACAAAAGATCTTGGATCAAGCATTGGGAGGTCTGCAATGTGTGGAAGTGGAATCGTTCATACTTCTTGTATCAATGGGATTCATGCCACGCTGACATAGCTTTGGATGCTTTTTCAGAGTGGTCAATTATGGTTGGTCTTTGAAGAAGGAAGGAGCCACGATGCACGAACAATGCCGCCGGATTGGTAGTGATGGTGTATCGACATTAAACAAAGGGAGGGAGGGGTAGGGGTAGCATCAAGCTCCATGATGAGTGTGTCATTTCACATTTCAGATTAAGCTTTTCCGAGAATCTGTTCGATGTTGCACTTAGCGATATTTCTTGTACTATATTTTAATCATGGACTCTCCTCATCTAATTTGACAAAAAATTTCAATCTTGTGCATATAAAGTGTGTGTAATGCTAAACAGTTTCCAAACCAGCAAGATTAGCCAATCCCTCTAAAAGGTCATCGCAGTACCAACGACAAAGGTGTAAATCAACCTAATCCATCCGACATATTCTAACATGTATTCAATATACTCAAATCCCATTCATCGAATGCTTTGATTTGAATAGGGAAGTAAATACTTAGATTTGAATAGGAAGGTGTGGTCAAGGCTAGGGCTAGGGCTACGACATCTTATCAAGTGTCTTTTTTTGCGATTGTGTGCCCGAAAGCTTTGGCTGTACTATTGACCATTTTATCAACCGTCTAATAGTTAGCTATAGAGTAATTGATTTTGTCATCCTGGGACATCTGTATTTCCGTAAACTGGAGGCATTCAGAGTATAATTGAGTAGAGCACAGTACTGTATGATTCAGAATCTTGAGTTGTTTCTTTTCATACTCGCAACGTATCAGCTACCAGTGAAGCAAAATTGTTGGAAGTGCAGTCTAGGCTCACACAATGTCATGTGATACAGTTCACATGATATCGTTTATATATATGTACCTTACATACTTATATATATATCCAATCCTATTAGAATATTTCTAAATGTATATATATACAATATTACTATTATTGTATCTATTATAATCTTAATAATATTCCAATAGGTTATAATCCCATATTAATCAATACTTATACCAGTATATTAATTAATATATTTA